ACATGACAATAGGTCTGCTCTGATTTCATCATCATTTAAAAAATCATCTATCATTTTTCACTTTATATTTCTGTGTGGGAGCAAACTGTTGAAATCTTTACTTAATGTATACTAAGCTGATCTTCTGTCTATTAAGATAATCGAAAATGAATCTTGATGTGAATGGAAGGGGAGAGGGAGTGGGAAAGGGGAGGGTTGCGGGTGGGAGGGACGTTATGGGGGGGAAGCCATTGTAATCCATAAGTCGTACTTTGGAAATTTATATTCATTAAATAAAAGTTAAAAAAAAAAAAAAGAAGTCAATGCTATAAAAAACTCACAATGATACACACTGGCTCCAGTGAACTGACTTAATATCTCAGTTTCAGATATTGAAATTTCTAAGGCAGAGAATGCATTATCCCAGTTTACTACTTTCAGCCAGGTCACACCAGTCATAAGATGCTGGACTATTAGTGGACCTCCTGCACTGCAGTCGCAGTGATACAGCACACAACACAGCCATATCCCAGAGCCCAGCAGTGGGCACCTCCCATCTACGTCACCACCCACCGGCCCCTGGTTGCTGATTGCCAGAGGGTGAGAAGAATGCCTGACGTCAACCAAGCACAACCCAGGACGGATGCCAGTCTGCACCAGCTTTCCATCCAGCTCTACAGCAGTGGCTTCCCCATTCTAGTCATTCAAAATGCTCTCCTGAAGGCCGGCGCCGCGGCTCACTAGGCTAATCCTCCGCCTAGCGGCGCCGGCACACCGGGTTCTAGTCCCGGTCGGGGCGCCGGAGCGCCAGATTCTGTCCCGGTTGCCCTTCTTCCAGGCCAGCTCTCTGCTGTGGCCAGGGAGTGCAGTGGAGGATGGCCCAGGTGCTTGGGCCCTGCACCCCATGGGAGACCAGGAAAAGCACCTGGCTCCTGGCTCCTGCCACCGGATCAGCGCGGTGTGCCGGCCGCAGCGCGCCTCCGCGGCGGCCATTGGAGGGTGAACCAACGGCAAAGGAAGACCTTTCTCTCTGTCTCTCTCTCACTGTCCACTCTGCCTGTCAAAAAAAAAAAAAAAAAAAATGCTCTCCTGAAAGAGCAAGCACCTGTTGTTTTCCAGCCGTGTATTTAGAAAGGAGTGGATGAAACAAAATTCTGTCAAGAGTTCCTTAGTCTCTTTCTTCAGAAGGCAGTGGGAAGAAATAGTGAAATATTTCTTCTAAATCCTCTCTTGCGGTAACTGAAGCAAAGGAAAAGCTATGACTGCTCCTGTCACTTTTCAATCCTTTTTTTCCCCATGGCTGTTGGCTATAATATTCTCTAATACTGTCTTTCAGTAAATATTGGGGGGCGGGGGGGGGGGCGGGTTTGCACAGCATCCAGCTTCGGAGTACCTTGGTTTGAATCCCAGCTTCCTGCTAATGCACTCTGAGAGGCAGCAGCTGATGACAGCTCAAGTATTTGGGTCCCTGCCACCTATGTGAGAGACCCTGACTGAGCTCTGGCCCAAGTTGTGGTGAGCATTTGAGGATTGAACCAGCAGATGGGCGCTCTCTCTCTCTCTAATAAAGATTTAAATAAAAATCTATGCTGCTTAATGATCTTATATTATTTTTCCTTCATTTTATTTTTTAATGATTTACTTATTTTTTTATTCAAAAGGCAGAGTGACGGGACAAGAAAGAGAAACTGAGACAGAAAGACCTTCCATTAACTGGTTCACTCCCTTAATGGCTGCAATAGCCAGGATTGGGCCAGGTGGAAGCCAGAAGCCTGGAACTCCATCCAGGTCTCCCAAATAGGTGGCAGAGGTCTAAGTACCTGGGCCATATTCTGCTGCCTTCCCAAGCGCTTCAGCAGGAAATTTAATTAGAAGCAAAGTAGCCAGGACTCAAATCGGTACTCTGGGGCATGGTGTTGTGAACTGCAGCTTAACCAATTGTGCCAATACAACGGCGCCTACCTTTCCTTTATTTTAGACCTACGCTGTCTAATAGAGAATTACTAGCAACATACTGCTATTGAGATATCCTCAGTATAAAAACAGAATGAAGGCCAGCGCCGTGGCTCACTAGGCTAATCCTCCGCCTGCGGTGCCGGCACTCCAGGTTCTAGTCCCGGTTGGGGCGCCGGATTCTGTCCCGGTTGCTCCTCTTCCAGTTCAGCTCTCTGCTGTGGCCCGGGAAGGCAGTGGAGGATGGCCCAAGTGCTTGGGCCCTGCACCTGAATCGGAGACCTGGAGGAAGCACCTCGCTCCTGGCTTCGGATCGGCACAGTGCACTGGCCGTGGTGGCCATTTGGGGAGTGAACCAACGGAAGGAAGACCTTTCTCTCTGTCTCTCTCACTAACTCTGCCTGCCAAAAAAAAAAAAAAAGAATGAAAATTTCATTGATGGATTTCATTCATGGGTTCTATATTACTTATAGTGTTTAGATAATATGTATATGAATGTATTATATTTTCAAAATATAAATATTTTATACCAAATACACAAACATGTATATGGGGTATAATGCGACAAGGTTATAAGGGCCTGGCAAGAGGAAATGGAGAGTTATTACTCAATGGGTAGCGTTTTAGCTTGAGATGTTGAAATTTTTCTAGAAAACAATGGTCACAGTTACACAACAACGTGAATGTACTTAATGCTACTGAACTACATATTTGAAAATGGTTAAAACCATGAAGCCTATGTTGTGCATATTTTGACATCATTTACGGTCATGGGGCAGATATCTGGCACAGCAGTTAAGTTGCCTCTAAAAATGCCCACATCAGTATCAAATTGCCTGGATTCTGCACTCCAGTCCAGATTCCTGCTGATGCACACTCTGGGAGGTAGCAGATGATGGCTCAAGAAGCTGGGTATCTGTCACCTATGTAGTAGACACAGCTGCAGTTCCTGGCTCCTGGCTTCAGCCTGGCCTGGCCCGGCCCGGGCTGTTGCCAGTATTTGGGGAATGTACCAGCAGGTGAAAGATCTCTTTCTCTAGTCCCCACCCCCCCCACACACACCTCTCCCTGTCCCTTTTAAATGAATAAATAAACCTTTAAAAACTAACAGCTAAAAGTAACCTCAAACTGTCAGTATGTAGGGTGGCAATGTCTAGGCTACGGGCTATATAAGGCCTGTGAAATCACTTGGCCTAGCACTGCCAAAGCACCTGCAGGCAGGACTTGAAATTCAGTAAATCTATAGCAGGCTAATTCTGAAGTTGATAATATCGTATAGCCTGTGAATGATGTTATAAATATCCAAATAGCCCTTGGCAGAAAAAATGCTTCCCCACCCCTGGTAGAGGGAAATGAGTAAGCACTATATACACTACATCCAATTTCACCCTACAAGGTAAAAAACTATTGAGCTAGTTTTCTGCCATTAAGCTTAAAAGACACACTTTATTCTTTCTTGCTAAAGAATAGATGTGAACAGCACAAAAATACTCTGTGCAACCTAACAGCCATTTTCACAAAGCATTCCACAAGTGCTTTTTAACAAGCATTTTCAAAATACTCAACAGAGTCTTGTGCTGAGAGCACTCCTCTGTACAAAAGTCATACAACTTCTCGAAAGTAATATACCACATAGAGAAACAAAGATCATGTTCTTTTGATTTACAGAACGTAGTCATAAATTAACCAAATTAACCATTTTTTTTCTGAATCCCAAGCTTATAAACATTTCCTGGTAGCTAATAACATTTAATTTCATTTCCTATCTTTTTTTTTTTAAAGTTATCAGTTTGAAAGTCAGAATTACAGAGAGAGAGGGAGAAACAGAGAGAGAGAAGTTTTCCATCTGTTGATTCAACCCAAAATGGCAACAATGGCCAGGGCTGGGCCAAGCTGAAACCAGGAGCTTCTTCCAAGTCTCCCTCATGGATGCAAGGGGCCCAAGCACCTGGGCCATCTTTCATTGCTTTTCCAGACTCATTAGCACTGGAAATGGAACAGGTGGGACTCGAATCCTTGCCCATAAATGATGCCCCACTGCAGACAGTAGCTTATTCCACTCTGCCACAGTGCCAGCCCCATTGTTTCCTATTTCTTAAGGCTAAGACAGCTTTGTGCCCCTGAACACAGAAGAGGAAAATGTGGCAAATTATTTCCAATTAGTTTATATGATAAAAATCTTTAGTCTGAGGCCTGCATTATGATGTAGTGGGTTAAGTTGCCACCTGCATCCCATATGAGATATGGTTCAAGTCCCGGGTGCTCCATTTCTGATGCAGCTCTCCGCTAATGTACCTGGGAAAGCTGCAGCAGATGGCCCAAATGTTTGGGACACCGTCACCCATGTGGGAGACACAGAGTTCTAGGCTCCTGGCTTAGGCCTGGCCCAGTCCGGCCACTGCGGCCATTTGTGGAATGAATCATTAAATCATCAAATCAAATCATCTCTCACTCGCAAATAAATCTTTTTAAAAAGAGACAAATTCCAAGTATATCAAGGATTTTTACTTAAAAAAAAATTAAACATGCAATGAAGTATAATAAAGAAATTACAGTGAAATAAGACAAATCCGGCTGGCGCCACGGCTCAGTAGGCTAATCCTCCGCCTTGTGGCGCCGGCACACCGGGTTCTAGTCCCGATTGGGGCACCGGATTCTGTCCCGGTTGCCCTCTTCCAGGCCAGCTCTCTGCTGTGGCCAGGGAAGGCAGTGGAGGATGGCCCAAGTGCTTGGGCCCTGCACCCCATGGGAGACCAGGATAAGCACCTGGCTCCTGCCTTCAGATAGGCGCGGTGCGCTGGCCGCAGCGTGCCAGCCACGCCGGCCGCGGCGGCCATTGGAGGGTGAACCAATGGCAAAGGAAGACCTTTCTCTCTCTCTCTCTCTCTCTCACTGTCCACTCTGCCTGTCAAAAAAAAAAAAAAAAAAAAAGACAAATCCACTGGCTTTTCAAGAACTAAGGGAGGGGCCTAGTGTGTTACGCCACAGCCTGCTGTGCTAACATCTCATATGGGCACCAATTCAAGTCCCGGCTGCTCCATTTCCAATCCAGCTCCCAGCTAGTGTACCTGGGAAAACAGTGGAAGGCAGCCCAAGTGCTTGGGCCTCTGCACCCATGCAGGAGACCCACAAGCAGCTCCTGGCTCCTGTCTTCAGATCAGCCCAGCTCGAGACATTGCAGCCATCTGGGGAGTGAACCAGCAGATGGAAGATTTCTCTGTCTCTGTCTTTCAAATTAATAAATAGATCTGTAAAGTAAATAAGTAAATATGTAAATAAAACAGGGAATCTGGTTTTAGAAAGGAGAGTCAACATCAAAACCATTCTTGCATTTAAATACTTGAGAAAGGCTCCTGAGGCTCACTACTGTCAAACTCAGCTTGTGCCAAGCACCGTTGTGGGGGCTTTCCATTTATTAGCTCATTTAATCCAAACTCTGCAGGAAAATTGATACTGTAATTATTGCCCGTTCCTTCACAGAAGGCAAAACTAAAACAGAGAGGTCAAGTAACTTCACCCAACATCACACAGCTGGCAGACTGACAGAACTGAGAAACAAATCCAGGCAACCTAGTTTCAGGACCTCCTACTACAAACTGCCTTCTTGGAATGCTTGTAATGAGTTTAGAACTCCAGCATAACTGCTATGCTTAAGCCTCTACAGGTATTAGGAGAGGCAGTATAGTGAGCCTCCCATCAATCACCCACTACATAATATTTCAGTAACTCACATGTTTGATAAAAATCTCAAAATGAAATTAATGTGGTCCAAGTTTATTTCAGAAATAAAAAATAAAAACAAGTGTTATAAACAGCAAACAACTGTCTACCACAGACCGTTAGATCTGCATAGTTCCATAAACTTGCAAAGAACGTGATACAGACCTGTAGTCCATAAACCACAGTGGTCACACAAGAGTTGGAAATGCAGGGCAGGATATGCGTATGCTGTCCCTGCCATGCTGTCCTTTATCATCAGCTGTAGTTAATGCTGTCTGATTGAACATTTACATCAGTGTCTTAATATACATTGCAAGACACTTGACTCCCTGAGATGGAGACCATCTGAGCCTAGATACGTCCACACCCCCAGTCCACCTGCTGGGCTGTTCAACCTCTACAAAAGCCTAGGCATATAAGCACAGGTGCACCAAAGGCCTGCAGAAATTATTGTCATATTCTGCCAAGATGTTTCCCCAAATCTGAAATGCCCTATCAGGCTTTAGCAGTTTAAAAAATTGTTACTAAGTCACATATATCAATTGGCTTGTTTTGCTTTACTTTTAATTAGGGTATAAATTATATACAGTAAAATTCACCCTTTTCAGTGTTCATTTGAGTGTGTTTTGACAGTCACATAATCACCACCACTAACAATACAAAATACAGCTATTCATAGTACAGAATTGTTCCATCACCCGTGAGACTTTCAGTCATCCATCCCCTAAAGTGACAACTGCCAATCTGTTTTTTGTCCCTATAGGTTTGCCTTTCCCTCGCCTTTCCCTCTGCCTTTTTTTTTTTTTTTTAAGATTTATTTTATTTATTTGAAAGTCAGAATTACAGATAGAGAGAGAGAGGTTTTTCATCAGCTGGTTCACTCCCCAGTTGGCGGCAATGGCCAGAGCCGCACCAATCCAAAGCCAGGAGCTTCTTCCAGGTCTCCCACACAGGTGCAGGGACCCAAGGATTTGGGCCACTTCTACTGCTTTCCCAGGCCATAGCAGAGAGCTGGACTGAACCTCTGCTTAAAGCAATAGAAGGTCTGTATTTGCGTCTGGCTTCTTTCACTTACACACTGCATTTCAATCACATCCATTTGTTGTCTGTTGCTATGGTTTAGATGTGGTCTGAATGACAACTCTTACCCCCAATCCTGTGCCAGCCCAAAACTTCATATTTCACCCGCATGATACTGAAAGGCAAGGCCTAGAGGAACTGACTGGGATTAGAAAAGGTCACTAGGGTTGTGGCACCCATGACCAGATCCCAGTGGCTTTACAAGAGAGATCTCTCTCTCACACACACACTCTCCATGTCTTCCCATGTGATACCACATGCTACTTTGGGACTTCGGGCAACAAGGGCAACAGCAGTATTGAGCAGATGCCAGTGCCATGCCCTTGAACCCTCAAAAACAAGCTAAACAAAACTTACTTTCTCTACAAACTTACTTGAAAGTATTTCATATGAGTAACAAGAAGCTAAGGTGAATGCAGCCATTTATTTTTATTGGTTAATGGAATTCCACTGTATGGATATATTACAGTTTATTTACCCATTCAACAATTAGGATAATTTGAATGTTTATCACTTTTATTAAAAGAGGGGGAAGGAAGGAAGAAAGGAAGGGAGGGAGGGAAAAGGAAAGGGGAAGGGAAAAGGAAGGAAAGAAACTGCTTAGGTACAAAGAGTTTTTTTTTTTTTTTAATTTTTTTTATTTTCATCTACTTGAAAGGAAGAGTAACAGAGAGACAAGAACCTGAGGTATAATCTGCTGCCTCCCAGGATGTATTAGCAGAAAGCTGGACTGGAAGTGGAGTAGCCAGGACTCAAAACAGCACTAAAACATAGGATGCAGCAGCTTAATCCACTGCACCACAATACCAGCCCCTGAAGCCAAGTTCCCATTTCACACAGGTAAATATGCAGTCATACATCAAATAATGTGTAAGTTTGGCTCTTTAACAGTCAGAGCCGGTGCTGTGGAGTACCAGGTTAAGCCAGTGCCTGTAATGCCATCATCCCATTTGGATGCTGGTTCGTGTCCCAGCTGCTCCACTTCTGATATAGCTCTCTGATGGGAAAGCAGCAGAAGATGGCCAAAGTCCTTGGGCCCCTACACCCACGTGGGAGACCTGGAAGAAGCTTCTGGCTCCTGACTTCGGATCAGTGTAGCTCTGGCCGTTGTGGCTATCTGGGGAGTGAATCTGTGAGTTGAAGACCTCTCTCTCTCTGCCTCTGCCTCTCTGTAACTCTGCCTTTCAAATAAATAAATAAATCTTAAAAAAAAAAAAAAGCTGCCTCCACAAGACCAGCATCACAGGCATCACATATCCAAGGGCAGGTATGCATCCTGGGTACTTTGCATCACTCTAGCTCCCTGCTAATGTGCCTAGGAAAGCAGCAAAAGGTAGACCCTGTATTTGTGCTCTTGCCACCCATGTGCGAGACCTGGATGGAGATTAATTTTAATTTTCATGTGTTGTATAGAATGTCAATTTCCTTTTAAAATTTTTACTGCTTTATCCAAGGTTGATATCTTTAACACCATATTTATTTAACAAACATTTTCCCTTTCTTTTTTAAGCTTTATTTTTTTGAAAGTCAGAATTACAGAGAGAAGGAGAGACAGGACAGGGAGAGAGAGAGAGAGATCTTTCATGTACTGGTTTATTCTCCAGATGGCCACAACAGCCAGGGCTGGGCCAGGCTGAAGCCAGGAGCTTCACCCAGGCCTTCCACATGAGTGGCAGGGACCCAAACACTTGAGCCATCTTCTGCTATTTCCCAATGGAGCTGCGTCAGAAGTGGAGCAGCTGGGACACGAATTGGCACCCATATGGGATGCTGGCCTTGCAGATGAAGCATTACCTGCTATGCTGCTACACCAGCCTCAACAAGTATTTTTTGAATATGCATATTGGCCTAGTGATGAAAGAGTAAACAAAAATGCATAGGCTAATACAGGGAACAGCAAGTTAATTCATTAAACTGTAAGATCAGCAATGATAAAACAGAGGTAAAGGCCGGCGCCGCAGCTCACTAGGCTAATCCTCCGCCTTGCGGTGCCAGCACACCGGGTTCTAGTCCCTACAGCCCTTTCAGCTACAGCCTTCGTTCCATTTCAACATTTTTAATTGTGCTGTTTTATCTACATACTTACTTGTAGATGAAGCATTTCTCATATAGCCCATATATAAGATGAAAGTCAAAAGTTCTGAATGAAGAAGTTTGCTTTTTTTGGTTTGTTTTACTTTTTGTAAAAATATGCAAAGCAGCCGGCACTTAGTCTAGCATTTGAAATGCCTACATCCCACTACAAAGTATCAGTTCAATCCCAGGTTCCAGCTCCTGACTCCGGCTCCCTGCTAATGTTTATTCTTGGGAGGCCACAAAGGATGACCCAACAAGCTGGCTTTCTGCCATCCACATGGAAAACCTGGATTGAGCACCCAACTCCTGGCTTTAGCCTGGCCCAGTATTGGCAATTTGGGACATTTAGGGAGTGAACCAGTGGATGAAAATACCCCATCCCTCCATCCCTCTCCCACTCCCGTCTCTCAGATAAAATAAAGCCATAAAATGAAAGACATGAAGGTGAATTAACTTCCCATAAATTAAGAATAAGAAATAATGATGCCAGGGCCAGCGCTGTGGCTCACTTGATTAATCCTCTGCCTGCAGCGCCGGCATCCCATATGGGCGCTGATTCTAGTCCCGGTTGCTCCTCTTCCAGTCCAGCTCTCTGCTGTGGCCCGGGAAGGCAGTGGAGGATGGCCCAAGTGCTTGGGCCTTGCACCCGCATAGGAGACCGGGAGGAAGCACCTGGCTCCTGGCTTCGGATAGGCACAGCACCAGCCGTAGCACCCACTTGGCCGGGGGGGGGGGGGGGGGGTTAACCAACGGAAGGAAGACCTTTCTCTCTCTCTCACTGTTTAACTATATCAGATAAAAAAATAAATAAATAAATAAACTCATTCATATTAAAAAAAAAAAAAAAAAAAAAGAATGATGCCGGCGCCTAGTCCTGGTCGGGGCACCAGATTCTGTTCCGTTGCCCCTCTTCCAGGCCACCTCTCTGCTGCGGCCAGGGAAGGCAGTGGAGGATGGCCCAAGTGCTTGGGAGAAGCACCTGGCTCCAGGCTTCAGATCAGTGCAGCGCGCCAGCCGTGGCGGCCATTGGAGGGTGAACCAATGGCAAAAGGAAGACCTTTCTCTCTGTCTCTGTCTCTCTCTCTCTCTCTCTCTCTCTCTCTCTCGAAGAAGAAGAAGAAGAAGAAGAAGAAGAAGAAGAAGAAGAAGAAGAAATAATAATGGTGAACTGCATAGATATAGATAACTGCTATATGGATAAAATGTCACCTCTATCATTAACAGCAATTTACCATTTGTAGAACAAATAACACTTTCTTTCATTTAACATTAACACTAACACTTTCTTCCATCACAGCTCCAACTTTGAAACAAACCTTAGCTATCCCTCATGCTCACCAGGTACACACGCTGGGGAGTGGTGCAGAGACCAGGGCTTGTTAAAGAATCACAGATTCTTATCGAGTTAAAAGAAATTTTAGAGGTCATCTGATCAGAGCTATCACTTCTCATGTTCCTCTTCCCTTCTCCCCTGCCTTGGCTAGCAGCCCTTGATGTGAGGCCTGACTTCTCTGTATTCTCAAGACCTCAAACACAATGCCCTTGATATGGCAATCAATAAAAGTCGCTGATAAAGATTATTAAACAAATGGTTACTTCCAGCTTGCCATTCTCTCCAATCCCTACTCCTTCCTTTGGCTCTCGTGCCTCCTTCCACAGTCTCAGCACCAGGTATCTTCACTCAACAATTCCAGTAATCCCAAAGCCTCAAGAAGAGTATAAAGTATTGCACCCAGCACTGGACTTGGTGTCCTAAGCCCTGGGTCAAACACTGAGCCTGTGCTAAGTTTTATAAACTTCAGGAAAGATCCTGAAATTTGTTAGGTCTCAGTTTTCCAATCTTTAAAATGTGAGCATTAGAGGTATTTAGCTTGCAGTTCAGACAATGGTTAGGGCATCCCATGTCCCACATCAGAGTCCCTGGGTTCAGCTCTCAGCTGCAGCTCCGGGACTCCAGCTTTCAGCTAATGCATACCTTGCAAGCCAGCAGTGATGAGCCAAATAACGAAGCTCCTGCCACCCATGTGGGAAACTTGAATTAAGTTCCTGCTCCCAGTTTCAGAATTTGGGAGTGAATCAGCAGATGGGAATATGTGCACACATTCTCCCTCTCTGCCTTTCAAATATATAAAACTTACTTACTAGGCTAATTCTCCGCCTGCGGCGCCAGCATCCCGGTTGCTCCTCTTCCAGTCCAGCTCTCTGCTGTGGCCCGGGAAGGCACTGGAGGATGGCCCAGGTGCTTGGGCCCTGCACCTGCATGGGAGACCAGGAGGAAGCACCTGGCTCCTGGCTTCGGATCGGTGCAGCGCCGGCCGTAGCAGCCATTTGGGGGGTGAACCAACCAAAGGAAGACCTTTCTCTCTGTCTCTCTAAAACTCTGGCAGTCAAAAAAAATTTTTTTGAGTTTTAGTGTATCATATTCTCAAATTCATTCTATATAACTTAATTATAAGGGGCTACATCTTAAGGTTTCTTTATGAAAAATCCATTATCTTCTCACTTTTTTTTTTTTTTTTGACAGAGTTATAGACAGTGAGAGAGACAAAGGTCTTCCTTCCGTTGGTTCACCCCCAAAATGGCCACCATGACCAGTGCTGCACCGACCCAAAGCCAGGAGCCAGGTGCTTCTTCCTGGTCTCCCATGTGGGTGTAGGGGCCCAAGCACTTGGACCATCCTCCACTGCCCTCCCGGGCTACAGCAGAGAACTGGACTGGAAGAGCAGCAACCAGGACTAGAACCCAGCACTCACATGGGATGCCAGCGCTGCAGGCAGAGGATTATTAACCAAGTGAGCCACGTCGCTGGTCCCATATCTTCTCACTTTTATAAATTATTTTATTTGTTCTAAAGGCAGAGACAGGGGTAGGGGGTGGCAAAAGGAGATCTTCCATCCACTAATTCACTAAAGTGCCAACAATAACCAGGGTTGAGCCAGGTCAAACACGGAAGCCAGTAACTCTATCCAGGCATCTCACATCACCTGCTGCATCCCAGGGTGTGCATGAGCAGGAAACTGAAATTGGAAATGGAGCCAGGATTTGAACCCAGGCCCCCAACATGGGATACAGGTGTCCTAAACAATGTCTAACACTGTGAGAAACTCCAATCCCCCCCCATTTTCTCACTTTTTTAGGCTTACCAAAAAAATGTAAACTTCAAATACTACAGCTAACCCACCTATTTTTAGCTAAAGAAAATTAGCACATTTTGATTAAAGAGGAACTTTAAGAAATTAGATAAAGTAACCTTTTCTTATTCTGTACACAGGCACAGGAGAGCTAAAATATCCCTTTCACAACATAGGAAGCATAATTCATACTGATACAGTGTTTACTGAAATGCTGGTCACAAAAATGGCATCATACAATTAAGAATATGATGTGGGGGCTGGCACTGTGGCATGACAGGTAAAGCAGCTCAGGATGGCCAAAATGCTTGGGACCTTGCACCCTCGTGGGTGACCTAGAAAAAGCTCTGGGATCCTGGCTTTGGACCAGTCCAGCACCACCACTGCAGTCATCTAGGGAGTGAACCAGCAGATGGAAGATATCTGTCTCTCCTCTTCTGTCTCTCTAACTCTGCCTTTCAAATAAATAAATAAAAAAAATTTTCCCTTTGTTCTGAGCTTAGTATTCCTCTTACAGCACTGGAACAGACTGTACTCCCAGGAAAGCTTAAGGAATTGTTAGGTATAGTGGGAAAAGGGGGCTGGTTTTTACCAAGAATTTCCTATGGCCAGGTGTGTTTTCTGATGGGGAAGCATTTCATAACTATGCCCCAAGTTCTTATCAGCAAGTGTCCCACTAAGCTCTCTGCCACACACATAGTTCCCAAAGCTCAGCAGAAAACAATGCTTACAGATTAAAGGACTGTGTGATGGACTTCTGGATCTCCCACATGGGTGCAGGGGTCCAAGAACCTGGGCCATCTTTTGCTGCTTTCCCAGGCCACTAGCAGGGTGCAAGATCAGAAGTGGAGCAGCCAGCACACTAAATGGTACTTGTGGGATGCCTGTGTCGCAGGCGGCAGCGTCACCCACTATGCCAAAACACTGGCCCCAAGGGGAAAAAAAAATTTTTTTTGACAGGCAGAGTTAGACAGTGAGAGAGAGAGAGAGAGAGAGAGAGATCTTCCTTTTTCTGCTGGTTCACCCTCCACGTGGCCACTACGGCCAGCATGTTGCAGCCGGCGCGCTGCGCTGATCCGAAGCCAGGTGCTAAAGAATACATGTTGGGAGAATCTACATGTGGGAAGAGCTGGAGGTTACTAGACTTACCAAGTATCCACACAGTCTATGTGCTCACTGCAAGAACAAAGAGGCAAAGGAAACTACCTCCTCAGGATGATCAGGCAACGGCCTTGCTGCAACACAAGCTCACACCTGTGATAACAGTGTTCTTTCTGGTTTTTATTTGGGAACTTTCCCCTCTGCAATGCTTTACTGACTCTGTAATGAAGCTGCCACAACTGCACAGGGGACACAGCACATGACTAGAATGTAAGTGAATTCTCATATCGCATTTCTCTGGGGCTGAATTAAAAGACAGATGGCCTAAACTAGTCCAATCCTAACAAGTTCTTAGAATACAATGCAAACATTTCCAAAATAAAAAGAATCAGTCAAATTACAAACACATGAGGTTTCCATCATAAATCAAATATTTAACAAATAAAGAAATTCTTTATGCTTCAACCTAGTTAAAATGTGCAAACTAATTTTAAAAACATAGTAATACAATGAAGACTAAATAACTCACATAGCAAACTCTTAAGTTTAATATTTATAGCTACGTATCTTACAGGGTATGAATAGGATAAATGACCAGGATAAACTAATATTTCAAAAGAAAAACATGATTATAAAAAGAAAAGTGATTCCCTGTCCTGATTTATAGAAACAAACCAATAGTCCAGGACAAAGCGACCATAACATTTTCATGTTCAACAATGAAATTCAAAACAAAAATTCACTCCCACTGAGACAAATGTTTTTATGCTGGTATAAAGTTAAAAAAAAATAACTATACTGACTAAAAAATTAATATTTAATTTTGTGTGCTATTAAGTCCATATGTGAGATATGTGGAAACAAAAAGGAAAATCTCTTAATTTTATATTACCTTAAGAAAGTTAAAGAAGATGTGACTGATGCTGATATATGGCAATATTATTACTTAAAAAAAGGAAAGAAAAAAAAAACTCAAACTCTATTATTAAGAGTCAGACAATTGGGATTTGAATCTTGACTCCTTATTATCTCTGATTCCTTAAATTAAGTCTCATCTTCCATAAGCCTGTTGTCCTCATCTATTAAATGCAGTTAAAGTAGTAATTTGAATCATCCAACTGAATAATTACACAGGAAAATCAAAACACAAAAAAGTTGGAGGTGGGGCAGCTTACTATAGGAGGTTATTAAAAACTTTTTCAAATATCTATATTAAGCAACAAAGAGCAGTTAGAACCTGTTCTGTTTTGGGTTTTTCATGGATAGCTGAAAAAATATAAATAAATAACCTTTTTAGAAAATTAGTAGAATTAGTAATAAAAGTTCTCATCATGACCTGAAACACAAAATTTGCAGTGGAAAATTCTGCTGTAGCACCAAGTCCAACAAAACAAACATATCAAAATCACAAGCCAGGGGCCAGTGCTGTGGCGTAGCGGGTGAGGCCGCTGCCTGCAGTGCTGGCATCCCATGTGGAGCTGGTTCGAATCCCAGCTGCTCCACTTCTGCTCCAGCTCTCTGCTATTGCCTGGGAAGGCAGTGGAAGGTGGCCCAAGTCCTTGGGCCCCTGCACCCACGTGGGAAGACTTGGAGGAAGCTCCTGGCTCCTGGCTTCGGATAGGCACAGCCCGGCCATTGCAGCCATCTGGGGAGTGAACCAGGGGATGGAAGACCTCTCTCTCTGCCTGTCCTTCTCTGTGTGTAACTCTTTCAAATAAATAAATAAATCTTTCTTTAAAAAAAAAATCACAAGCCAGGGGGCTGGCATAATGGCATAGCAGGTTAAGCTGCTGTCTGCAGCGCCAACATCCCATATAGGCGCCAATTCAAGTCCCTGCTGCTCCCTACTAACGCACCTGGGAAAGCAGCAGAAGATGGCCAGAGTACTTGGGCTCTTGCACCCAAGTGGAAGACCTGGAAGAAGTTCTGAGCTCCTGGCTTCAGCCTGGCCCCACGCTGGCCATTGCATCATTTGGGGAGTGAACCAGTGGACAGAAGATCTCTATATATATAACTCTGCCTTTCAAATAAATAATAAATCTTTTTAATGACAAGCCAGAACAGTGTTAACTTGTTTGACTTCAATGATACTGCTAACATAGAAACACCCACAAAAACTAAGAGTGAACCAGCCGCATTGTTTAAGTCTGGTGTACATAACAAGGAGTTAACTGTGGCTCAAAAAAGAGGTTTCATTATCCTGCAAAGGTCCGGGCTCTCAGAGTATGTGAGTCAAAAAACAATAAAGCAAAAGCTGTAACACCCCAGATTGCCTATCCAGGTTATTCACCAGACTTGGCACACAAAAAGCCTTTGGCAGAATCCAAAAATTGATTCTAACATCAAAGAGTAAAGAGTTATGAACAGTGAACATATTCAAACCCTAAAGGTATAACAAGACCTTGAAGTACAATGGCAGCATTGTTGGGAGTAAGTACACAGCATTTGGGAGCCAGATTCAGTTCATTTCAACTTTAGATCAGTAAGTGTATTCATAAATAAGCCTCACTCATACAATAAAAACTGCCAAGAAGCACCACCTTAAATCCTTTTTAGAACAAAGCAGGATATGCATGTATTCAAACCAAAGTAAACAAAAATGTCTTGCCCAAAGACTTGGCCTGATTTTTTCTTAACTCTTCATGCCCCATTAGGTAACATATTAAGCCTCAGCAAGATGACTAAAATGGTGTATCTGGTCCATCTTTTCATGTTAGCCTTGTGACTACAGGAATCCAGAAACCTGTGTTGTGTAAACCAGCACCCTGAGCACCTCGGGCTGCCCTAATGGAGCCCCACCTACAAGTACTAATGGCTATACACTGCCTGCAGATTCCCTCAGACAAGAAACACCTCCCTGGCCTCAACAAAGACGAAAAGCCTTCTTCAACTAGGTAAATAAAAGAGATATAGCTTTAAAGCCAAACAACTACATGGCTAAAGAAAATCTCTAACCTAACTGGAAGATACAAACTGTCACTCCAGCCTAAATTCTGGAACCCATCAAGAACTGTGGCAATAAGCAAATAACTTGCTCAAAATACTGTGTTCTCTAGGATTTCTAAAACCTTGGAAGGAAAGAAAATAAGATTTTTACTCAATAAAAATTCTGCTACCTACTCACTTATCACAGAAGTACACAAAAGAGCAAGACATTAGCATTTAATTTATTCTAGAATTTAAAAAAACTTTTAAAGCACCTATATGATGTATGTTCTCTTATTCATGTGTTATTTTCATTCATTTAGGTAATCTGGAGGAGAGTCAGAGTTTACCTAACAGGAAAAAGATGAAGCATACTATAGGAAAGAAGACTCTTCATCGATCTTATTAGATTCAATCTGGGCTCCCAGATTTCAAACTGAAAAAAGACAGATTAACATGAGCAAACAGGATCTGTTTACATACACACAGGAGACAGCAAGTGATAAGTAGCTCAAAGGTATGGTTAGAATTTGGGCTCATATACCTTTTTAACAAAGAGTGATGAAGTATGGAAAGGACAGACAAAGAAAGTAGACTTCTACACTTTGGTTGAGGGGCAAATTGTGGTAAGATGATTAGAAAATGTATGATAAATAGCATTATTAGCAAGCAACACCTTTGCATATGGAAATTTACATCTACCTTTTAGACAGAAACAGAGAGGGCAGAGAGCTAACTGCCTTCACCTCAAAACAATCCTTATACCAAAGTAGCCTATTTTGGAGTGGCCTATTCTGATTCCCTTCAACAAGCTTGGGGAACCAACAAAAAGGAGCACCAAAAAAATTAAGAGGCTACCCTTCCCGTTTCCTCATATCAATATGCGATGTACTTTTTGAAGCCCTGAAACATGTGAATCCCTCTGGGCTTCTTTATGTAAAGTTTGAATTTTGATAGTGTCATTTTTTCATTTCACAGGAAGGAAAAAAGGCACCATGATCCCTTCACTACTCTAGGATTTGAAAGGACTTCATTAGAACCTAGAGAGTCACCCATCTTTGTCCTCTCACTTCATGCCTTGAAAGATATTTGCCAAAAATACCATAAAAATGCATTCAATATATTAATGAAAGTCAGAATAAGTATGAAGTGTTATTGCAAATAACATAGCACTGGAATCAAGTTGTTTAAGTAGAAACTATTAAACTGAAGAGACCACATCACAATCAACTTCTGGTCATCTGGTCTACATAGTTAAACCATACAAACTACACTGCTTTAAAATCCCATGAAGAAAAGGAGTGAGGAGTTTTCTGCCTTTAAAGTAGCAGGATGTACTCTGCTTGAACAAAGGGGAAAAAAAAAAAACAGCCACGAAAAACACACTGGCTAACTGCCGCCCACCCACGGGCAAGTTGCCATCTTCAGCTGGAAAAGCATTTAACCAAAGCACTTATTTATAAGTGTCTTTATCAACAATCCATTTTAATGTGGTATATGTCTCTGCGAAATAGACAGCAACTTTCAAGAAAAAAAAAGTTCAATTCAGAACTATCACAGAAGCATTTATTTAAAAGCAAATAACACCAAGAAAGGAAAGACACAGCTAACTATTGAAAAAAAAATAAATGCTTCAACACAAACTTAGAACTTGATTATAGAAACAGAGACCCACACTTATGGTCAGGTGTTAAATCACCAAGGCATCCTAGTTCTGAAAAGGAATACAATCCTTTTCTCCTTATTTACATCTGTTTAGTAAGAGACAGAACATGAGGCAGGTGCAGTTCCGTGGCCTGGAAACACAAAATGCAGCTCAAAAGAACAGTTTCCTTGAAGGATCAGGTTTTCTTCTTGTGAAAGAGATAATAGAAGTAGCTAGGAGGGAAATTTAACTATGGCTTTCCCCAATGAGGAAGGAGCAGGGAGAGGTTATCAATCAAAATAATTAATGCGTAGTACTATTTTAGTAGTGTTACTACTGAAAAATTTAGAAGGACAAATGCCATTCCATCTGCTGTGGTAGCTACAGAGAGGCTTTTCTTCAAACAAGAAAGCCTTATTGTTTATTTAAAAAAAAAAAAAAAAGGAATTCCATGATTTTACAAGAGGACAAACAAATGATCACCAAAAAGGGTTCTACAGAACCAATCACTCTCCAAAGCAGAGTGCGTGGTTTGTGTGCAGGCTAGTCCCTTCCTTTATATGAGGCACACACGAAGGTCAGCTGAGAGAAGCCTGCCACAGCTCTCACAGGCCTCACTGGCAGTGCTAAGAAGTAACATGTCCTGTATTTTCACGCTCGTCTATTGTTTCCAGGTATTATTTAAATCTTATCTTTAAAAAATCTTTTTTTCCCCATAAACGATAGAGACAGAAATGAGAGTTTCAATCTGCTTTGTTACTCCACAGATGCCCACAACAGTCAGTGGGTGGAAGCTAAAGCCAACACCAGGAGCCAGAAACTCAATCCAGGTCTCCCATGTCAGGAACCCAAACACTGGAGACATCACTGCAGCCTTCCAGGGCCTGAATTAAAGGGAAGCTACTATCAGGAGCCAGAGCCAGAGCCAGAACCAGGAATCAAACCCAGGCATTCCAATGTCAGGCGTCCCAACCAGTAGGCCAAATGCCCAGCCCTTAAATCTTACTTTGAATACTGTACTTTTATACAGAAAAGGCTTCCATGAGAAAAAGTACCAAAAATACACCTCTACAAATGCCCCCACACAGTGCCTTGCAGAGGTCTTTAAAAACACCAGCAAATATGATTTAATGAAAAAAACATATGAATTTATGTTCAAAATTACACGTCTGGCAAGACTGGGGATTTTCCCTCTTTCCCAAATTTCCTATGTTTTACTATATGTAACTTATCACCAGAAAAATGTTTTTTGGAGCAGCAATTTAGCAACTAAGATGTCTATATCCCACACTGGAGTACCTCAGTTGAGCTCCCAGCACCAGGCTTTGGCATCAGCTGTCACAGGCATTTGGGGAATGAATTTGCAGGTAGCGAAGTCTTATCTTTCCTGGTCTCCCCTTCCCTCCTCTTCTCTCTATCTGGCTCTTGTTCTCATTCTCTCTATTAAAATTTTAATGAATATTTTTATAATCATCACAATAACTTAACAATGAAGTGGAATATATCATGGTGACTAACAACATGGACTCTGGCAAACTATAGACTCAAAATGATAGTTCCTAAAATTCAAATTAATTACTATCCCTAACTCTAGATTCCATCATCTACAAAAACATAGTAAGATAACCTATATGTCATAAGATTATAATGATGACCACACAGGTGATGTATGAGGACATGTTTAGCCAGTACTTGTCAAAGTGAAAGGGCTTGACACTAGAAAGCTACCACCCAAATATGTCCCTAAGTCAGCAGCTTCAGGATAGAGCTTTTCTTGCTCCACCTGGAGGTCATAACGGTTTATGGCACTTTACATGGGAAATTAATTGTACACCAAGGGGAATTTTTTTAGAATTTATTTATTTGAAAGGCAGAGTTACAGAGATGCAGAGAGAGAGGGAGGGAGAGAGAGGTCTTCCATCTGCTGGTTTACTTCCCAGATGGCCACAACGGCCAGAGCTGAGTCGATCTGAAGCCAGGAGCTTCTTCCCCATCTCCCATGTGGGTACAAGGCCCCAAGCACTTGGTCCATCTTCTACTGCTTTCCCAGGCCACATCAAGGAGCTGGATTGGAAATGGAGCAGCCAAGACTCGAATCAGCACCCATATGGGATGCCGGCACTGCAGGCGGCAGCTTTAGCTGCTAGGCCAAAGCTCTGCCCCCAAGGGGAATTCTAAAAACACAATGGAAACAAATTTTGACTTCTTTTGCCAAGAATCACCTGTGAAGCACACTGAGACAGCCCCTGAACATTGTTTTTGCTCTCTCTTCTCCCATTTCACCTCTCAAACCCTTACAGGATAATGTTTCCTGGGCACTCTAGAAAACACATTTTTGCACAGGCTGAACTGGATGTTTTTGTGTGCCCAAGTGTTCAGATAGTTGATATTTATAAAAATGAGTAATCTCTAAATATCAGAACTCCTATCTAGGCCAACCAATAGGGGGAGAGGTTTCCTTAAGGGGTAGTAGACATGCATTGACTTTTACTTAACTGTATGTACTTTAACATAATCTGCATTCTAATGACTACCCAAAAAATTAGAAGCAAAATTCTGATGGCAGTACTACTTCCAACCTGTAGTTCCTAAAGCACCTGACACCTATGCCATAAAGGAATCACAGGGCAAAAGGGGGTTACATGAGTTCCTGCTTGTCCAACTGACTGTGAGACCATCCAACTCTTCCCTCTATCTAGTCCACACAGAGTTCACCAAGAGGGACCTCCCAGCCCCAGGACTCCCAGTATGCTTATGGCAGGCATGCATTTTGATCAGAAAGGGAGCTGTACAATTAACCCTAATATGCAGAAACCATAAAACTTCACAGAAAGCAAACAGGGGGCCAGCGCTGTGGCTCACTTGGTTAATCCTCCGCCTGCGGTGCCAGTATCCCATATGGGCACCCCCCAAATTTGATAGGCAGAGTTAGACAGTGAGAGAGAAAGACAAAGAGAAAGGTCTTCCTTCCATTGGTTCACCCTCCAAATGGCCGCTACGGCCGACACTGCGCCGATCCGAAGGCAGGAGCCAGGCTCCCCCTCCTGGTCTCTCATGCGGGGGTGCAGGGACCAAGCACTTGGGCCATCCTCCACTGCCCTCCGGGCCACAGCAGAGAGCTGTACTGGAAGAGGAGCAAGCAGGACAGAATCCGGCACCCCAACCAGGACTAGAACCCGGGGTGCCGGCGCCGCAGGTGGAGGATTAGCCTAGTGAGCCGCGGCGCTGGCCAACACAGTAATAATTTTTAAAACCATAATAGAGCCCATACATTATATATATATATATATATATATATATAATTTTTTAATAAAATCCAGGAGAGTAGCATTGTTGCACAGATTAAGCTGCTGCCTGTGATGCCAGCATCCCATATTGGAATACCCATTCAAGTACCAGCTGCTCCACTTCGGATCCAGCTCCCTGTTACTGTACTTGGGAAACAAGTGAAACAAGGCCCAAGTGCTTGGGCCCCTGTTACCCATCTGGGAGACCCAGATGGAGTTCCTGGCTCCTAGTTTTACACCTGGCCCAGCCCAAAATGTTGTGACCATTGGAGGAGTGAACCAGCAGATAGAAATCTCCCGCCGCCACCTCACTGCCACTTTGTTTTTCAAAATAATAATAATAATAGTATCTAAAAAGTAAATCCAACTTCAATTTGATTAATGTTCCCAGTAACTAAATATTTTATTAATATTTCCATTTATTTGAAAGGCAGCGTGATAAACACAGAGATCTTCCATCTACTGGTTCACTCACCAAATGCCAGGCCAAAGCCAGGAACCCAGAACACAAACTGGTCTCCCAAATCAGTGGCAGGGACTCAAGTATTTGAGCCAATACCTGATGTCTCCCAGGATGCACAACAGCAGAAAAGACTGGAACCAGGCACTACAATATGAAATGCAGCATCCCAAGCAGTGTCTTAAGTACTGCACCAGAAAGTCCAGCCCTAAACATTTTATTTCATGCAAGCTTGTATCATGAAAGTATTCTAGAACAATCATTCTGCTAACGTCCTTGGAAATGCAATGCATCAGCACTCGATGGGTGTCTTAGTTAAGTGTATATGGAAAATTTAAGGCTCTATCCTTAATCAGCCTCACAGAAAGCCAAAACTGCAGAAACACTATGGAGATCAAAACCTCACCTTCTTTCAAAACACCAAACGCAGTTTTGTCAATCTGATTGGAAGGTTAGCAGGCCACTGTTCCTCTAGATCAGGAATCATACCCCAAGTGTCTCAAGGGACAGGTAGTAACACAGTCCCCTGGCAGGAGAGGTTAGACTAGGGCAAATCATCTAAAAGATGTAGTGAACAGCTGTCAGAAAAACATACTGACCCAGGGGGCTAAACAGCCTCATTTTTTTTTCCAGACTATGGAAACACAGAATTTTATGCAAAATATCCTATTTTAAAGCAATGTTAGCCACATGGACATATTTACCAATGTGTACCCTGAGACCATATAGATGTTACTTAACCATTTAACAGACATGAATTGCTGTCTTCTGTGCCACACACTGCACCAGGCATGGGAACAAACAACAAGGAAGTGTTAGTCTGTGTCTGGGTGGGGAGCTGGGGGAAAGGCTGACAAGCCAGTGGAGATAAACACACAGAGGAAGTGGTGAGAGCACTTAGCACAATGTGGCAAACCAGGGAGATATGCCTGGAAGGTGCTCTGCTGAGTCCAAGACATGGTAAAGGAAGGGGGGGGGGGGGGGGCAGGAAAAAAGGGACAGACCAAGGACAAATGCAGGAAGTACACCAAACCATGAGAATGGGTCTTATATTAGTGTGGACAAAGCAGAAAGTCTGGCAAAAAGCATTCAGAAGGGTACTGTTGGGACCTGTGCTATGGCATAGCAAGTAAAACCACTGCCTACAGTGCCAGCATCCCATATGGGTGCAAGTTGAGCCCTGGCTACCCCATTTCCAATCCAGCTCTCTGCTATGGCCTGGCTGGGAAGGCAGGGGAGGATGGCCCAAGTGCTTGGACCTCTGCAGCTGCATGGGAAACCTGGAAGAAGCTCCTGGCTCCTGGCTTCAGATTGGCGCAGCTCCGACTGTTGCAGCCATTTGGGGAGTGGACCAGTGGATGGAAGATCTCTCTCGCTCGCTCGCTCATGCTCTCTCTCTCTATCCCCGCTCTCTGTAAATGCCTTTCATATAAATAAATCTTCAGAAAAAAAAAAGATATTAGGGATAGAGACAGTATGTTCAAAGGATCATCAGCTCATCAATAAAAATAAAAAGAAAGAAAGAAAGAAAGAAAGAAAGAAAGAAAGAAAGAAAGAGAGAGAGAGAGAAAGAAAAGAAAAGAAAAGAAAAGAAAAGAAAAGAAAAGAAAAGAAAAGAAAAGAAAAGAAAAGAAAAGAAAAGAAAAGAAAAGAAAATGTTTTGAGTACAGACTAAGGAGTGGCAAAGAACCAACAATCAGCACATGGTGACCCTGCTCACTACCACCAACTCAAGGCATGCTGCAATGCCAAACAGAATCTCCCAAGTAAAACAAGAGAACTCCACGCCACAACTCTCTTCAACCATTTTGCTTTTATACTTCAAATACTGATTTCTGCATACAGTTCCAATTAAAGAAAAGGTATCTATGTCCTCATTCTCTTGGTAAGTCTAGACAAAGCCCCAATGAACACACAAATAATAAAAATCTAGGTAAACTGTAGTTTTCAAGGTTGTAATGTGTGGCACTATGTTAATTTTGAGATTCTGTGATTACTTTCTCTCTTAACCCTCTTCCAGATTGTAAGTTTTAGCCACTGAAAGTTTTCTGTAATTATTTCCTGGTTGGTATCACAAAACTCCCCATCTTTTATATAAAGTAAAAAGATTTCCTAAGTGAAAAGACATCTTTTTAGGTAACCTTAAAAGTGTCGCTTTTATGGGGCCAGCACTGTTGTGTAGCGGGTATAGCCGCAGCCTACAGTGCCAGCTTCCCAAATGGGTGCTGGTTTGAGTCCTGGCTTCTCCACCTCCAATGCAGCTCTCTGCTTATGGCCTGGGAAAGCAGTGGAGGATGGTCCAACTTCTTGGGCCCCTGCACCCATGTGGGAGACCCTGAAGAAGCTCCTGGCTTCCGCCTGGCCCAGCCCTGGCCACTACGGCCATTTGGGGAGTGAACCAACGGATGGAGGAGATCTCTCTCTCACTCTGCCTTTCAAATAAATCACATCTTAAAAAGAAAGGACTGAGCAGTATCATTAACTTCTACAGTCTATTCACTCCTCTTTCAAGTTCACTTTCAAAGTTTCAGTAAAGCATAGTATTTACCAAAATACACTATGCTTATGACTTCTTGCCTTGGCAATATTTTGTTCCACAGCTTTATTTCAATTTTACAAAGCAGACCAAAGATAAAGAAATTATCAGTTGTTTCTACGATCATGTTTGTATTCAAGAATTCCCACTTTTTAAAGTTGATTCATTCATTTATTTTTGAAGGTAGAGAAAGAAAGAGACAAATAGAGGAAGATCTTCTATCCACTGGTTCAACTCCCCATATGGCTACAAAGGCCATGGCTGATCCAGCCCCCAGAACTCCATCAAGGTCTTCCAAAGATGTGGCAGAGGCCCAAGCACCTGGGGCCATCCTCCACTGCCTTCCCAGGTGCATTAACAGGAAGCTGGATAGGAAGCAAAGCAGCCAGGACTACAACTGGCCTTCACAGAGGACCACTGTACCACAATGCAGGTCCTTCCCAGTATTCTTTCTCTCTTTCTCTCTCTCTCTGTCTCTCTCTCTTTCTCTCTTTCAGAATTATTTATTTGAAAGAGAGTTACAGAGAGAGGTAGAGCTAGAGAGAGAGAGGTCTTCCATTCTGCTGGTTCACTCCCCCAAATGACTGCAACGGCCAGAGATGAGCTAATCGGAAGCCAGGAGCCAGGAGCTTGTTCCAGGTCTCCCTCAGGGATGCAGGAGCCCAAGGGCTTGGGCCATCTTCTACTGCTTTCCCAGGCTATAGCAGAGAGCTGAATCAGAAGAGGAGCAGCCGGGACAAGAACTGGTGCCCATATGGGATGCCAGCACTGCAGGCCGGGGCTTTAACCCACTGAGCCACAGCGCCAGCCCCACTCCCAGTATTCTTAGCAAGCCAGGGACAATAGAGAAATGATGCCAGGACACAAGAGATACAAAGGTTAGAGCACAATTATTCTCTTCTCATTCCAGGATCAGTTATATCATCTGGATGTAGCTGCGGCTCAGCAAAGAGCACACAGACACCCAGAGTCTAAGTTCAGTCCTCTAGCCATTATTTAGCAATTCTATGACTTCAAGCAAGCTATATGGTCCCTCAGGAACCTGTGTGCCTAAAATGCACATAAGGAACAACAGTATCTACAGGACAGTCATGAGGCTTAAATGAGAGTAAAAGGAAATGTCATAAACATGTGCTCCCTCTCCATTAGGCTTTCAGTTTGATTTCTTTCTTTTCCCCTCAGGTGGAAGAACTGCCACAGTAACTCAAAAGCAGCAATGTCCATTTTCCCCTACAATTCTCAAAGTATGGTTGATTCAAACCTCCCAAGGAGTAGGTGTCTAGGGCTGTGGGGTGGCCCACATCCCGAACCCAAGTGTCTGGTTCAAGTCCCAGATCCTCCACTTATCAATCCAGCTTCCTGCTAAAATGCCCACGCTGAGAGGCAGCAGATGATGGCTCAAATACGTGGGTCCTAGCCACCCACATGGGAGACCCACATAGAATTCCAGGCTCCTTACTTTGGCCTGGCCCAGCCACAGACATTTGGTGAGTTAATCAGCAGATGGAAGATATGCCTCTCAAATCAAATGAAAATAAATAAATAATTGAAAATGAAAACAAAACCAGAAACCACTGGCCAAAACTATTTTCATAGGCTAGTAGTTAAGATGCCCACTTCCCATATCAGAATACCTGGGTTCAATACCCACCTTTGGTTCCTGACTTCAGCTTCCTACTAATGTGGACCCTGGAAGGCAGCCAGTGATGGCTCAAGTACTTGGATCCATGCCTCCCATATGGGAGACATGGACTGAGTTTCTGGCTCTTGGCTTCAGCCCTGGCCCAATCTTGGCTATTGCAAGTATTTGGGGAGAAAACCAGTGGATGGAACTGCTGTCTCTTTCTCTATCCCTGAAATTAGTAAATAAATAAAAATTATTTTCATAATGATCCAATGATTCTTTTTCTCTGGGTTGGTGTTTACAATGATAATGTAAAAGCAATGGTAGGAGAACTGCTGGTGTCTTAGCACGAATCAAGCAGTGGATCCAAACGGCATGAACAGTCGCTTTCAGTGTCTTCACTGACAAGGTGTGGGAGTTCAAATAAGATCACATCCACAGGAGAGTGTTCCTAAAAATGCTGTGTAAAATAAATTTAACTAAACCACAACCCTGGATACACACCTTTTTACTAAATTACGTGAGGGAAAAAAAGCATTCCTGCTGCACATCAAGTAAGATACATTTCTCAAGGAAAATCACTAGCAGCTGTTTCACTTACTTTTTCCAGGGATTACCTGGACTGACAGTCTAGCCTTAATTATTCAAACCTGGGTACCTGACAGACATTTTCTCAAAATGAATGAGACTGAAACTTTAAAGGAAACAACTGATGCAAGGACAAGAAATGGGTTTGAATATTTTCTTCATATAGTTTAACCAAATCAATATATTGCACAGACCAAAAGTACAGGTGAGTATACTTCAAAAAGCTTATGGAGAACAGGTGTTCAGCACAGCAGTTAAAATGCTTGGGAAGCCTCTATCCCATACAGGAATGCCAGGTTTGATTCTTGGCTAATCCACTTTCTGATGCAACTTGCTGCTAATGCACACCAGGGAGACAGCAGATGATGGCTCAAGTACTTGGGTTCCTGCCATCCACATAGGAGATGGGAAACCCGAGTTCTGGGTTCCTGACTTCCCCCTGGTCCAGCCCTGTCTTCCTGGGCACTTGAGGAGTGAACCAGCAAATGGCCAATCTCTCTCCATTTGTATGTCTCTGTGTCTATGTCTCTTTGCCTTTCAACTAAGTGAAAACATTCAGGGGCGGAAATTTGGTACAGTAGTTAAGATGCTCCTTGGGATGCCAGCACCCCACTTCAGAATGCCTGGGTTTGAGTCACAGCTCTACTTTTAATTTCAGTTTCTTGCTAATGTGCACCCTAGGTGGCAGCAGAGTGACATGTAGTTGGGTCCCTGATACCCACCTGGGGAGACCTGGATTGAATTCCAGGCTCCTGGCTTGGGCCTGGCCCAGCTCCAGCAGTTGTAGTCATTTAGGGAGTAAGCTAGCATATTTATGCTTTCTCTCTCTCTCTCTCTCCCTTTCAAATAAAAACTGAAGAAAAAAAAAAAAAAAACACGATTTGTACAATTAACAAATTCTTTAATCCAGGCTATTTGTCTAAACAGAAAAATCATTTTACATCTTTCTGTCATGTCCTTAAAAGAAGGTAACTTCACAAACCTTACTTTTCATTTCCCTTCAGCTGTCAATATACCAGCTTAATTAACCTTTTACTTAATTAACCTTTAACCCCACCCCCATCCCACCCCAAGCCATTCATCTCTCCACTCCCTTTGAGAATATGAATAAAGTTCTAATTCCAGAAACCAGAACTCACGGGCATTACAGACTTCATGCAATTTCTAGGCCCGAGTACATGGTCCTTCGGTCTACACTACTGCAGCCTGCCATAAAGTCCTGGTACTAGAGAGCAGTGAATAGCAGTGCTACACGTGTCCACTGCATTCAAAGGAACAGAGTTGTAAACCAAATAATTACCACCTGGTTTATAAAACACAACTGACAAGCCTGAGTAAAACTCATGTGTTAAAACCCAAGCAACATTTCCAAGTAAATCAAAGAGTCATATCTTAATTAAAATAAACACAAATCCAAAAGGGTGAAAACTGAATCTATCATATTTTTTAACTGCTTAATTTACTCAGTATTTCAAAAGTTATCTGGAAATCACAGCTAGGAAAAACATGTTCACAGTATTATCCAGTACATATGTAATTTCCATAAACTGCAACTAATACACTATTTTTAAATCCTATAAATGCTAATCATGGACATAAAATTTTTCAAACATGTAAATGTCCTTTTCAATACAAAGAGTTAAAATCAAATGGAATGATCAGGGCCAGTACTGTGGCACAGCAGGTCAAGCTGCTGCCTGCAGCACCAGCATCCCATATGGGCACTGGTTCAAGTTCCTGCTCCACTTCTGATCCAGCTCTCTGCTATGGCCTGGGAAAGCAGAAGATGCCCCAGGTCCTTAGGCCCCTGCACCCATGTGGGAGACCAGAAAGAAGCTCCTGGCTCCTGGCTTTGGATCAGCCCAACTCCAGCCATAGCAGCAGCCATTTGAGGAGTGAACCAGCGGATGAAAGACCTCTCTCTCTGCCTCGCCTTCTCTATATAACTCTGACTTTCAAATAAAAAAATCTTTTTTTAAAAAATGGAATTATCTATTACATATTAATTACTAAGAACAGAAGGGTGTAAGTACAGAGCCTCCCCACTTACTATTTTATGAAATATTTCTTTAGCATTCTTTATTAGTATTTTCAAAGCTAAAAACTAACTTCTTCTATGTCCCTTCTACATTTTTGAAAACATATTAGTGATTAGCAAGCATTAACTTAACAAACATACTGGTAATAACGTGTATTTTTTTATTTTCAATATATACTAAATTCAATGTATGGGACATGGTATAATATACATTTCTTCTAAATTTTTTTTCCAATTGTTTTTTCAAATAAATGATCTTCCCAGTGACCCAGTTCATTAAATCTTGAAATGCTTATGTGTGGCACTGTATTTGGCTGATTTTGCTGTATATTTACAGCAAAAGATAAAAGATCTATGCTTCGGGCTGGCATCCCATATGGATGCTGGTTCAAGTCCCAGCTGCTCTTCTTCCAATCCAGCTCTCTACTATGGCCTGGGAAAGCAGTGGAGGATGGCCCAACTTCTTGGGCCCCTGCACCTATGTGGGAGACCTAGAAGAAGCTCCTGGCTTCGGGACCAGCTCAGTTCTGGCCCCTGCGGCCATTTGGGGAGTGAACCAACAAATGGAAGAACTTTCTTTCTGTCTCTCCCTCTCCATGTCTGTAACTCTACCTCATAAATAAATAAATCTCTAAAAAGAAAAAAAAGAAAAAAAAACCTATGCCTTAAGAAAAAAAAAAGACACATTCTCTCACACAATCACACCAACACCCACCCACATCCCTAACAAGGTACAAGAATAAATCTTGGAAGATAACATTCATATTTTGCACAGCACCTCTCACCTTAATTCTTCTAGCACAAAAACTTTGCAAACTTAACAACTGGAAGAGGAAAAAGGAGGAGCTACATATGCATATGTTAAAAAAGAATCAATATAATTTTCATTTTAAAAGCATTAATAATTACCTTGAAAATAAACTACAGCATAAATTAAACTATAGATTTTCAGAAATAGCAACCAAAAAGACCACTTCCCTAGTACTGAAAATTAATGGGCAAACTAAAAAGGTCTACAAATAATAATTTAACCCTTTAACTTAATAGTTATATTTACAATGCGAATTTTGCAATCAAGTAACAAAACCCTACCTACCACAAAAAGCCAGACTCTAGTCTCCAAATATAAGATTTATTTTATTTACTTGAAAGGCAGAGTGAGAGAGAATCTTCATCTGCTGGTTCACTCCCCAAATAGCTGCAACAGCCAGAGCTGGGCCAGGCCAAAGCCAGGAGCCAGAAACTCTATCAGGGTCTCCCACATGGGTGGCAGGGACCCAAGTGCATGAGCCATCACTTAGCAGACAGATGAATTAGCAAGAAGACAGATGAGAAACAGAGTAGCTAGGGCTAAACCAGGCACTACAATATTAGATGTGGGTGTCCAAGTGATGGCTTAACACACTGCACCACAACACTAGCCCCTCTATGTCTTCATATATGCTAAAACTTCCTTTAACAAAATTCCAAAACAAATGTAGGTGAAGCTTCCTGTGAAAACAAGCAGAAGTGAATATTCAAAGCCTGCACTACTCTATCAATGTTAGAAAATGTCAGGCAGGGGTCAGCGCCATGGCTCACTTGGTTAATCCTCTGCCTGCGGCGCTGGCATCCTATATGGGTGCCGGGTTCTAGTCCCAGATGCCCCTCTTCCAGTCCAGCTCTCTGCTGTGGCCTGGGAAGGCAGTGGAGGATGGCCCAAGTGCTAGGGCCCCTGCACCCACAGGGGAGACCGGGAGGAAGCACCTGGCTCCTGGCTTCCGATCGGCATAGCTCCGGCTGTAGCGGCCATTTAGGGGGTGAACCAGTGGAAGGAAGACCTTTCTCTCTGTCTCTCTCTCACTAACTCTGTCAAATAAATTAAAAAAAAAAATGTCAAGCAGTCAACCACTTCCTCCTCAATTTAAAACTTCAAACTATATAGTAGAACCACCAAGAAATTTCTTTCAAATACCTATGTGTATCATGAGACACGAGGAGTATATTATTTTAAGGGCTAACACGAGGCAAGTGAAGTAAATTCTAATACTGGCACTGTTCAGGATATTAAAACCATAAAGTATTTCTTCCCATCAACTTATTTTTCTCAGCATCAAAGTGTACCAGACACTACTTACTAACACAGAACTTAAACTTGTCTTTTAGAGTGACTATTTTAAGGACAAAGCTGAAATAATACATTTCCAAAAAGAGTAAGATAGTATATCTTCTACATTAGAGGCATGATTTTGGGACATGTCACTCAAATTTCTCCTATAGTGGACCTGAGCTAACTTGTCAAAAACCTAAAGAAGATTTTTCAAAAAATTAAATGTAAACTCAAGTAGGCTCAATATAAATAAATCTCTGGAAGGATTCAAACTATCTTTCCTTAAACTATCTTTGACTATGCCATTTGTAAGTGGGAAAACCAGCTAATGAAGAGGTTTAATATGAAGAAGGCAGGCTGGTAGTCCAATTAAATGTAAAAGAACACTATCAACATTAATTGAGTGTGTCTGTCAGGTGCCTGAGTTTCTGCAGCTGTTACTACTGAAGTCCCAATAATCCTATTACTCCTATCGTTAAATCTACCGTGGTCCTTCAACAAAGCATGTTGGGAAGCCAGTCATCATTAACACTCATTGAGAGGCAGTTTCACTCAAACAAGACATCAAAAATTCCCATGTTACATTTCCCAAAAGGGCAGTGCTCCGCGTCCTTACACAAGCTAACATAACTAAGTGATGGCAAGCTCTGCTCAAATTAATGATGAAAACATGTAACAAAATACAAAGACAAGTATTTCACCTCACCATTAAAGGACCCTTTGAAATTGGTGATTAATTCATTAAAGCTTTTGGAGAACAAGTGTTAAACCATGTAGCTATGCAGCTACATAAACAACATTTTTTCAGCTCTTTACACAAGGTGTCAGGAGAGACCTGGTATGGCCAACACAGCTAACGCAGCTTGTTGATGCCTCAGCAAAGATCCCATGCCATGCTGCCCACAGAAACAGCCAAGACACAAAAGTTAATCAAATGCCACCTCAACAAGGAGGAGCTAACACTAGAAACTAGGTCTTTTGACAAACCCTATTTTTCAAAAAGGAATTCACAGCATTTTTTAATGACATAATTTTCCCTTAATTCCTCAAGCCTTAAACAAAAATCATTCTTGGCTTTTCTCTTACCTCAAATCCCATCAGTAAATCTAGTCAGCTCCACCTTCGAAACAAGTCCATAATCTGATCATTTTCATCTCCTCTCCTCAAACAATCCAGCCAAACCATAACCACAACCCATCGATTATATTACCACAGCAGCCTCCTTCTTGGTTTCCAAGATTTCCCTCTTGCCACTGTATAATCTGTTCCCCCATTCAATGACCAGAGGGACTTTAAAAAAGAAAAATGGCTGTTGGCACATGGCAAGCAGGTTAAAGCCATAGCCTACAACATAGGAATCCCATACGGGTGCTAGTTCAAGTCCTGGCTGCTCCAATTCTGATCCAACTCCCTGTTAAAGTGCCTGGGAAAGCAGCAGAGGATGGCCCATGTCCTTGGGATCCTGCTATCCACATGGACACATGGAAGAAGCTCCTGGCTTTGGCCTGGCCCAGCCCTGGCTGTTGAAGCCATTTGGAAAATGAACCAGTGCATGAAGATCGATCTCTCTCTCTCTCTCTCTCTCTCTCTCCTTCTCTAACTCTCCCTATCAAACAAATAAATGTCTTTAAAAAAAGAAAAATGAAAACAATCAAAATTGTAGAAAAGTATAGTACAATGATTTTCACAGGCTATATAGTAAATTGACTGCCCCACTACTTGTAGTAAATGCTGAGTAGTAGCTGCAGAAGTTTACATTCTCCTTTTCACAGGCAATGCTCAGAAAAGTGCAATGATTCGTCCAATATTATATAACTAGTAACTTGACAAGATCATGACTAAACTCAGGCCTACTAAGTACTATCAATTATGTAATGCATGCCTCACTGCATATGTACCACTGATTAGTCACCTTCATAAATCCTAATCTCCTTTTCTTTCAATCTGTAAAATTACTGAGACATTACTGAAATGTTGAAAAGAACAGCAAGAGGGGCAGAAATACTCTATCAAACCTACCGAAGGTCCCAAATAATGAGTGAGCACATTAGCACCAGATTCCAGGCATCAGCAAGCTATAGCTTATCATTGTTTTTTGCTAAGGGACATGAATACAAAAATGGCATTTACATTTTGAAATGGAAGAAAATACCAAGGAATAACGCACAACACCTAAAAATTATATGTTAACTCAAAAGTTCCATGTCCATAATAGTCTGACTAGACACAGTCACACTTTCAAACTTATTTACTGTCCATTCTGCTTTCACACTACAAAAGCAGCGTTAAACAGTTGCAACAGAGATCATCTGGCTCAGGAAAGCTAAAATATTTGCTATTTAGGCTCTTTACAGGAAAAAAGTTTGCCAACTACTGCCAGTCTATTGGTTTTGCAATCTCCCTAACATTTTGACCTCCAAGAAGCATTCCTTGACCTCTTCTTTCCTACTAAGTCAAAGTGAGGTTTTCTCCTGACACCCATTCCTTCTCCCAACACTTTGCATCCCATTTTCCTTTATAATTTATTCAAGAGGCAAAGACCAGACAGACAGCTCCTAACCACTGACTCACTTCCCCAAATACCTGCAAAGACCAGGCCTGGAACAAGTCAAATCTGGGAGCTGGGAACTCAATCCAGGTCTCCCCTATGAGCGGCAGGGACCCAATCATTTGAGCCATCACTTGCTGCCTCCAGAATCTCCACCAGCAGGCAGCTTAAACTGGAAGAGGGAGCCAGGAACAGAACCCAGGCACTCCCCAACATGGGATGTGAGCATCCTAACTGGCATCTTAACCACTAGGCCAAATGCCTGCCCTTACATTCCATTCAGAGATATTGAATTGCCTGTTGCACAGAAGACTCCTCCATCGAGATTACAAGACCCATGTGTCCCTGTATGTTTTAACCCCAGTGTCAAGCAATGCCTATGTATACTACATGTCCAAAGCTTGTTGAAGACAGACAGCAGTGATTACTTCAGAAGAAGCTAATGAAACAACTCTGAAACTTACAAGAGTTTCTTCCAGAAGACACACTGTGTTAGCCTTTCCTGAGGAAACATACATACAAATGACTCCAGCCCTCAGCTCATTCAAATCATAAATCTAGATGGATGCTTGGGCAAAGACACACAAGTGATAGGATAGAACAAATACAGCAAAATATAAAAACCTGGCAACCTATATAAAGCACATAAGAAACCACTGATTTATTCTTGCAACTGTTCTGAAAACTTAAAAGCTTTCAAAATAAATGCTAGAGGAAAAAACACAAATCTGCCAGTCCTGACACATAAGATTTCAACCCAGTAATGGTCCAGGAAAACTTTCAAAAGCTAGGATGGGAAGCAAGTACAAAAAGCCCAGACTTCCTCAAACCTGTTTGTTTTGACAGAAGGAAACCAGAATCGGAAAGTGACAACACTATTCTACATTCACTCATTCAGCAATCACTATATACATCACATACCAATTACCATTCTGACAGTGAGGGTAGGAAGACATCACAGAACTTGTACCTAACTGAAAATCAAACTGTAACAATCAGGAAAAGAAAAACAAGTCTAAAGGTTTTCTAGGGATCACTTAGCAAAATTTGTTAGAATCACTTGCAGAGATTTTTAAAATCCTAAGTCCAAAGCTACAATGTAAACCCCAGCAGTCACGCAGAACAGAACAGGCCTGGAAACAAAACCAAAGGAAGGAAAAAGCAAGGGCGCGGCATGAACCCAGGCAGAATGCTAAGCCAGCAATACATGTATTAAAACACAGCTGGGCTCCTCCAGAATTAAAGAGGTTAAACCCTGGGGCTGGCGCAGCAGCGCAGTAGGTTAATCCTCTACCTTGCGGTGCCGGCATCCCATATGGATGCCGGTTCTAGTCCCGGCTGCTCCTCTTCCAGTCCAGCTCTCTGCTGTGGCCTGGGAAGGCAGTGGAGGATGGCCCAAGTCCTTGGGCCCCTGCACCCGCATGGGAGACCAGGGAGAAGCACCTGGCTCCTGGCTTCAGATTGGCGCAGCTACAGCTGTTGTGTACATTTGGGGAGTGAACCAACAGAAGGAAAAACTTTCTCCCTGTCTCTCCCTCTTACTGTCTGTAATTCTACCTCTCAAATAAATTAAAAAAAAAAAAAAAAAACTGAAAAGGTTTCCTGGGGGCCAGCGCTGTGGCCATCGTAGGTTAAGCCTCTATCTACAGTGACGGCATCTGATATTAGCACCGGTTCAAGTGCTGGCTGCAACACTTCCAATCCAGCTCCCTGCTAATGTGCCTGGGAAAACAGAGGAAGATGTCCTTGTGCCCACATGGGAGACCTGGAAGAAGCTCCTGGCTCCTGGCTTCGGCCTAGCCAGCCCCAGCCATTTCAGCCATTTACAGATTGAACTACCACATGGAAGATTCTCTCTCTCTCGTTATTTGGAGGGGAAAAAAAAAATGGTTTCCCACCATAGGCATACTTCTTGACTGTTGCATTGTACTCAAATATTTTTGATTTTTATGGAAATCATTAAGGTGTTTTTTTTTTTTGAGACAGGGCAGAGTGGACAGTAAGAGAGAGAGAGAGAGAAAGGTCTTCCTTTACCGTTGGTTCACCCTCCAATGGCTGCTGCGGCCGGCGCACCACGCTGATCCGAAGCCAGGAGCCAGGTGCTTCTCCTGGTCTCCCACGCAGGTGCAGGGCCCAAGCACTTGGGCCATCCTCCACTGCCCTCCCAGATCACAGCAGAGAGCTGGAATGGAAGAAGGGCAACCGGGACAGACTCCGGCGCCCCGACCAGGACTAGAACCCGGTGTGCCGGCACTGCAAGGCGGAGGATTAGCCTATTGAGCCACGGCACCGGCCTGGAAATCATTAAGTTTTTAACTTTCCACAATTACTTCTGCATTGTTCCTGTTCCTAAACTATACATGAGACATCAATTAATTAATATATTAAAACTGAAACAAGAGGGCTGGCATTGTGGCATGGTGGGTAAAGCCACCACCTACGACATCGGCATCCCATATATGCACGAGTTTAACCCCCACTGTCCCACTTCTGATCCAGCTCCCTGCTGCTGTGCATGGGAAGGCAGCAGAGGATGGCCTAAGTGCTTAGACTCCTACACGCATGTGGCAGATCAGAAGCTCCTGGCCCTGGCCATGGTGGCCATCTGGAGAGTGAACAAGTGGATGGAAGATCTTCTGTCTCTCACTCTCTCTACTTTTCAAATAAATAAATATTTTTTAACAATTGAAATAAGAGTTACTTTTATATTAAAATTAAATAATCAAATGAAGAGAAAATATAACAAATTATGTAACTAATACACCTGTAAAAATATAACAAATTATGTAACTAATACACCTGTATTATAGAATAGGCAATTTGAAAAAAGAAAAGCCTTCTGGCTTTCACCCTGTCATGATATCCTTATAGTCATGACCAATAGTTACCTTTCTTAACAGAGTATTTACTTAGAAGAACTTTGCTTAGAATACACACACACACATACATACACACTGTCCTCTAACAATTTATGGTTTAATTATTAAAAAGAAAATCAGAATGAACTTTGTACCACAATCTACACTGACTTTTTTTGGGTTCAGATATGAATAAAAAGGAAACATTCAGGGATATCTGTGAATAAAGTAACATTCAGTGAGTCCTCTTAAGGAAGGAAAAATTTCCCACCCATGATCCAAGTACTTTAACCACAATCTGAAATTCTATCAAGAAGCGTGGGCATCTTAAACATTAAAACCAATGTAACAAGAGCAGGATGACTCCTCTCCATTCCTCTCCATTCCAAGGCTGGAAATATTAACAATGCTTGGGGGGAAGGGAGTAACAAATGTACAACAGTGGGAAAACAGATATTTATTTTATTAATGATACGAATTCCAAGAAAACCCAAGGGAAACTCATCTGGAAGTACTGTAATTAATAAATTCATTAATTCATTTATTAAGCTTCATGACACAGCAGATTAAGCTGCCACCTGCAATGCCAGCATTGAGTACTGGCACTGGTTCATGTCCCGGCTGCTCCACTTCTGATCTCGAACCCTGCTAATGGGTAGCGAAAATCAGCAGAAAATGGCCCGAGTGTTTGTGCCCCTACCACCCACATGGGAGTCCTGGATAAAGCTCCTGGCTTCAACCTGGCCCAGTGCTGGTCATTGAGGCCATCAGGGAAGTGAAACAGCAGATGGGAAATCTCTCCCTCTCAGTCTTTCCCTCTCTAACTATGACTTTCAAAATAAATCTTAAAAATAAATAAGTAAAAAATAAGAATAAAAGGGCATTCATATTATATAGTAAGAGTCCTAAAATCATATCACTCCACTAACAGATGAAAACTAACCAGGAAAACAAAATACAAACTGAGTACTATTTAACTTAAAAATATGAAACCTATCCAAATATTAAAATCAAAGTACTATAAATCAGAGTAAGTGAAATGCCAAATCTCACACAGACTGTTTTCTAAAACCTTATCTTTTTTTATTCAAGAGGCAGAGAGACAGAAAGAGCTCCCATCTAGTTTACTCCTCAAATGTCCTTAAACTGCCAGGACCGGGCACAGGGCCAGCTCAGGAGCCAAGAACTCAATCCACACACCCCATGGGGTAACAAGGACTCAAATACTTGAACCATCACCTGCTGCCTCCCAAGGTGTACATTAGCAGGAAGCTGGAATCAGGAGTGGTCCCAGAACTCAAACCTAGCCATTCTGAAATGGAATGGAGGCAACGGAACCGATGTCTTAATCATTAGGCCAAACATGCACACCAACAAAAAATTTTGAACCTAAAAGCTTAGTGATTTGAAAGAGACAGAAAAGAAAATCACTACAATATTATATTCATTAATAAGGATAAAAAGAGGAGAATAGGAAAAAGCAAAATGAGTTCTGACAGGTAAAACGTATTTCTGGGTGCTTGCACCATAGCAAAGCAGGTTACCCACCACTTGTAACACCAGCATCCTGTGAGTGCCAGTTTGAATCCTCGCTGCGCCACTTCTTTTTTTTTTTTTTTTAAGATGTATTTATTTATTTCAAAGTCAGAGCTACACAGAGAGAGAAGGAGAGGCAGAAAGATAGAGGTCTTCCATCCCCTGGCTCACTGCCCAACTGGCCGCAACGGCCAGAAGCCAGGAGCTAGGAGCCAGAATCTGCTTCTTGGTCTCCCACACAGGTGCAGGGGCCCACAGATGGGCCATTTTTGCTTTCCCAGGCCATAGCAGAGAACTGGATCGGAAGTGGAGCAGCTGGGACTCAAATCAGCCCCCTTATGGGATGCCGGCACCACAGGTGGTGGCTTTACCCAGGGCCGGTGGCTTTACCCACTATGCCACAGCACCAGCCCCCTGGCTGCTCCACTTCTGATTCAGTTACCTGCTTATGCACCTGGGAGGGCAGGCGCATTAAATAAATTAATATTAAACAAACAAACAAAGACAATAGTAGCAGAAAAACACCAGTTCCCATATCCTTGATAGCCATCTGCATTTTTCCACCTAACAAAACCAAACAAAATATGAAGCAAAAAAAATCAAGAGAATGGAGGGGGGTACATATATACATACAATCAGCAGAACTGTAAACTAGTTTCTCTTTCTAAAAGATCATCTGAAAATGGGTAATAGAAACTACAGCACCGCACGTGACACATTGGTGTTCCTTGGTTCTATATCTGGCTCTTTTCCTGACTCCAGCTTCCTGCTAATTTGCACCCTATGAGGCAGAAGGTAATGACTTAAATAGTTGGGTCCCCGCCACCTACATGAAAGACCTATATTGAGTTCCCAGCTTCAGCCAGCAATTTGGGGAGTAAAATATCAGACTAGAGGTAGAACTCTCTGTCTCTCTCTCTCTGCCTCTTGAATACTTTTTTTTTTTTCATTTCAAAATAAAGGTCAATCTGGAAACAGATAATAGAACTATAACACTACTCATCCTTTTGGACTCAATCAGACTCGAAGCAGATTTCTACTTTGAAAAAAACTGCTTCCCCTCCACCTCAAAACTACACAAAATATCTACAGAAGTGATACATAAAGGACAATTTAAAAGAATCAAAGGCTGAAAATTTGTGATATATGAACATGACCTCTCCTCTCTCCCCATCCAAGTAAACTGTTTTCAAAAAACCACAGTTTTCAAGCAAACTAAACATTAAAATAAATGTATACCACTTTTTCAACTTATAAAGTATGTATACTAAGGCCATAAGCACAAAATGTTTTTTTGTGGGTGGGAAAAATTAAATGTATATTGCTTAAGAGCTGTACCATTTTCCTTGAAAATAGTACCAATTTTCTTAAAACTAAAATCATATATTGATTTTCTGCCACCTACTGGTTACACTCATATTTGAATAATGTAATTTCACATTTAATAGTCACTACTATTAAAATAAAACAGAGACAATGGGGCTGGCCCTGTGGCGTATCAGGTAAAGCTGACGCCTGCAGTGCCAGCATCCCATATGGGTGCCAGTTTGAGTCCCAGCTGCTCTGCTCGCAATCCAGCTCTCTGCTGTGGCCTCAGAAAGCAGTAAAAGATGTCCCAAGTCCTTAGGCCCCTGCACCCAAGTGGGAAGACCTGGAAGAAGCTTCTGGCTCCTGGCTTTGGATTGGTGCAGCTCTGGCCATTGCAGCCAATTGGGGAATGAACCAGCAGATGGAAGACCTCTCTCTCTCTCTGCCTCTTCTTCCATCTCTGTGTAACTCTTGACTTGAAAATAAATAAATATTTTAAAAATATATCTGTATATTTTTGTTCTTTATAATGTTTTACTAAATTATGATAAATTCTGCTTTGGTGACACTCTTAAAGGTATATCATGAATTAATAATCTTTACCTTTTTAAAATTTATTTGAAGAGCACAACAACAGAGAGATCTTCATCCACTGGTTCATTCCACAAATGCTGAAAACAGCCAACACTAGGAGAGGCCAAAGCAGGTGGCCTGAAACTCAATCCAGATCTCTGATGTAAGTAGCAGGGACTCAAGTACTTGAACCATTAGCTGCTGCCGCCCATGATGTGTGCACTAGCAGGAAGCTGGATCAAACCCAGGCACTCTGACTCAGGATGCAGGCATTCCAAGCAGCGCCCTAATTGCTACAAATGCCCACCCTGATTTCTTGACTTTTGGTAATATCCTCATGCAAAATTTCCATTAGCTGTGGCCAGCACTATGGCATAGCAGGTTAAGCCACCACCTGCAGTGCCAACATCCCATTTGGTGCCTTGTTCAAGTCCGGGGTCTCTATTTCCGATCCAGCTCCCTGCTAATGTGCCTGGGAAAGCAGCAGAAGATGGTCCAAGTGCTTGGGCCCTGCACCTACGTGGGAGACCCGGAATAAGCTCCTAGCTCCTGGCTTCAGATTGGCCCAGCTCCAGCCATTGTGGCCATTTGGGGAGTGAACCAGCAAATGGAAGATCTCTCTCTCCCTCTGTTTTTGCCTCTCTATAACTCTGCCTTTCAAATAAATGAATGAATCATTAAAATTTTTTTTTCATTAGTGTGCTGAGATTGTTTTAATATATAACAATTTTTTATTTGACAGAGTTATAGACAGAGAGACAGAGAAAGGTCTTCCTTCCATTGGTTCACCCCCAAATGGCTGCTATGGCCGGAGCTACGCCAATCCGAAGCCAGGAGCCAGGTGCTTCCTCCCGGTCTCCCATGCGGGTGCAGGGCCCCAACCACTTGGGCCATCCTCCACTGCCTTCCCAGGCCACAGCAGAGAGCTGGGCTGGAAAAGGAGCAACCAGGACTAGAACCTGGCGCCCATATGGGATGCCAGCGCCGCAGGCGGAGGATTAACCAACAGAGCCACGGCGCCGGCCCGTTAATATATAACAATTTGAGGAACATAAAACCTACATTTAATGAACCTACTTTCAGAATATTTTTTCTTTATAATAACTAATGCTTATTTGCACCAATTTTCCCAAATATTAGAGGTACATCTGTTACGCATTTTAAGTTACCTTTTCAGGCTACAGCAATCTTTGTCCTCTCCACCTTCTCTTGCTACACTATTTACTGGCTGAAGAAAGTCTGTTCGTCCTATCACATTGCTTTTTTTCTTTTTTCTTTTTCTAAAGATTGACTTAAATTACTTGAAAGCATTATACAGAGAGGGACAGACAGAGACAGAGTGAGAACAAGAAAAAGAGGAAGGGCGAAAGAGAGATTGTCCATCACTGGTTCACTCCCCAGATGGCTACAACAGCTAAGGCTAAGCTAGGCAAAAGCCAGGAGCTTCTTCCTGGTCTCCACATGTGAGTGCAGGGGCCCAACCACTTGGGCCATCCTCCATTGCTTTTCCCAAGCCATTACCAGGGAGCTAGATCGGAAGTGAAGCAGCCAGAACATGCAGGCGGCAGCTCTAATAATTCTGGCCCCTCACACTACTTTTAAAATCACTCTTGTAGTTCTCCAGATTTTAAAAAGCATAATGAATTTAACAATAAATATTCCTATTTTCAAATCTATCACTGTAAAAGACCTTCATGAGATGTTTGGTGCCATGGTAAGACGCCCCTGGGGATGCCTGGTTTCTAGTCCCAGCTCTGTTCTCGATTTCAGAATCCTGCTAACACACACCCTATGAAACAGCAGATGATGGTTCAAGTACTTGGTTCCCCACCACCCACAGGGGAGGACCTGGATGCAGTTCCATGGTAATGGTTTTGGCTGTTGTGGATATCAGAAGAGTGAACCAACCGGTGGGAGATCTGTCTGCTTACAAATAGATGAACTTTTTTAAAAATGAGAATTTGGTTTTTAAAGAGAGAGAGAAACTTCTGCTAGTCACTATGGAAAAATGATTGGGTTTCAGATGATATCAAGGAATTCTGTTAAATGTTATCAGATACTGTGATTATGTAAGAAAATGTCAACATATTTTTTTTAAAGACTTACTTGAAATGTGGCGTCAGATACAGGGAGAAACACAGAGAAAGATCTTCCATCTGCTGGTTCACTTCCCAAATGGCCTCAATGGCTGAGGCTGGGCCAAAGCCAGGAGCTTCATCCAAATCTCCCATGTGGGTGGCAGAGGCTCAAGTACTGGGGTCATCATCTGTTGCTCCATAGGGTGTGCATTAGTAAGGTGCAGGAATCAAAGTGAAGTAATCCGGACTCAAACGGGTGCTCATATGAGATGCTGGCATCACAGGTGGAGGCTTAACCCACTGTACTGCAACACTGGCCCCTGTCCAAATGTTTTATTGACCGATAAGCACTAAACTATGCTGCACCCTGCAAAATTTGTATAGTAAAGCCCTAACCCTGAACGCGACAGTATTTGGAAGTGAGACCCATGGGAGATAAATTCATGAGGAGATAAATTCACGAATTAGGAATTCATGAATTAGGAATGGAATTAGGAATCCTGATGAAGAGACATTGACAACATGGCTCTTTCTCAGGCATCTGGAAAGCCCTCACCAGAACCTGACCATGCCGGCACCCTGATCTAGGCCTTCCAACTTTTACAACTGTGACTAATGAATGTCTGTCGTTTAAAGCAGCTGGAACAGACTAAGACAGAGATCAGCTATTTGCATTTCCTAAAACTTAATGCAACTTATTTTACGCTACCTCACTCTTCATGGCCTTTATCCCATCAGGAGTTTCACTATTTCCAGTTTCAAATTACTAGTCTGATTATCTCTCTTCCAATTTCTATACCCTAAGTCTGAAATGTCAGCAATTCAAATCATTTCTAGACAGAGTTCCAAATGCAAACTATTTGCTACGATAGCCTCCTAGCTTACCTCAACTACTTTTCTTCCTCGTAATACATTCCAAATAATTCTTCTTGGAGCAGCTTGTCCAGTGTCAGTCTCCTAATGAACAACCTTCACTACTGTTCTTCCTAACAAGTAGGAGCTCAGAAGAACACATCAAGACCTTGTACCTCACTTCCTGCATCAGACATCCTGGATTCCTAAGAGGTGCAGCTCAGAATCTCTCAAAGCGGCGCCAAAGAATCTTTAATCCAGATGAGCCTTACACACACTAATATCTGAAAACCTTCTGCTACAAGACAAAGTCTCTCATACCCATACAACTTACTTGTGTCTCTGATCTCACCTCTAACATCCCCATGCGGATGGCAGGGGCCCAAGCCCTTGGACCATCATCCCCCTTCCCAGGCCATTAGCAGGGAGCTGGATGGGGAGTGGAGCAGCCAAGACATGAACTGGTGTCTGTATGGGATGCCAGCATCACAGGCAGCAGCTTTACCAGCTATGCCACAATGCCAACCCCTAAACAGTAGTTTTTAAAACTGTATTTACTTATTTGAAAGGCAGAAAGCAACAGAGAGCTCAGCATCTGCTGCTTTGTTCCCCAAATGCCTACAATGCTAGGAGCAGGGAACTAAATACAAGTCTCTTCTGTGGGTGGCAAGGACCCAACTACTAAGGACATCACCTGCTGTCTCCCAGGGTGCACAGCAAGTAAGGAGCTAGAGCCAGGTATCGAACCCAGGCCCTTCAATATGGGATGCAGGTGTCTTAAGCATCATGCCAAAAGTCTTCCCCAATAAAGCTTTGAGTTTGATGATGATATATCCTAAATTCATTCTCACATTTTTAAAAAGTGCCCAAAACCAAAGATGGATGCTATGACCAAATATTACAAGAAATTCAAGAACACTGTATTATAAAGATAACACATATTATATAACAATTATGTTATGATGAGAGAGATGAAATATCTCCTTAAGATTTATTTTATTTACTTCAAAGGCTGAGTTACAGAGAGAGAGAGAGAGGCCTTCCATCCGATGGTTCACTCCCAGTGGCTGCAGCAACCAAGGATGGACAAGGCCAAAGCCAGGAGCCTGGAGCTTCTTCAGAAGTGTTGCAGCCAGGACTCAAACCAGTGCCCATATGGGATTTGGGCATCACAGGTGACAGCTTTACCACTACGCCACAATCCCAGCCCCAAGACTTATTTATTTATTTTGAAGGCAGAGTGGCCAGGCAGGGGTAGCACTGGGGGGATCTTTAATCCCCAAATGGCTTCAAGAGTCATTTATTTTTAAGATTTATCCATTTATTTTAAAGGCAGAGTTACAGAGAGAAGGAAAAGTGTGGGAGAGAGAGGGTGAATGGATCTTCCATCTGCTGGTTCACTCCCCAAATGGCTGCAATGACCAAGACTGGGCCAGTCCAAAGCCAAGAGTTTCACCCAGGGGTCCCACATGGGTTCAGGGGCCCAAGCAGTTAGCCCATCTTCCACTGCCTTCCCAGGCACATTAGCAGGGAGCTGGATCACAAGGGAAGCAGTCGGGACTGAAACCATGCTCATATGGATGCCAGCGTCACAGGTAGCAGCTTAGCCCACTGCGCCACAATGCCAGCTCCATGAGATAAATTTTTCTAAAGAGAATTTAAAACAAAACTGAGGTACATTAAATTACTTACAATCATCTCTGAGGAGGTATCCATAATATTTTGCTGCTATTAAAGCTTTCTCTTAAGTTTATATGAAATAAGCTAACTGGAAACCTTCACAAAGATATACTTTACTACAAACATTTTAACAACACTGAGTAAGCAGCATCAATTCATATATTACAAGTGCTGGAAATAAGAGTGGGATAAATTTTTTCTCACTTAAAAAACTGAAAATCAAGTAAGTCTATAACAATGTCAAGCCAAAAAAAAAAAAAAAAAAAAAAAAAAGCTCTGGTTCTAAGGATAGAGTTTTACATTGGGATTAAGAAAAAATTCTGGAGATGAGTGATGGTGGTGGTTGCACAACAGTATGAATGTACTTAACATCATTGAATTATACAGTTAAAATAATAAATTTTATGTATATTTAACCATAGAAAAAATAAAGAAAACACCACTCTGGTTTCAATTAACTGCATGAATAAAGAGAAGCTTTCACCTAGGTCATCTGCAGAAGTTTATAAGCAACTATTAAGAAAAGCCTTGTGTGGAAACTTGCACAATTAATTCTAAGCTACCATTAACAAAGACATCTCAAAGGTCTGAATTAAGGGGCCAGGTGATATGGCATAAAACAGCATCTGGTTTGAGTCCCCGCAGCTTGCCTTTGTATTCATTCTGGGAGGCAGCAGATCCAGCCCCTGCCATACAGGCAGGAGACCCAGATGAAGTCTCAGGTTCTTGGCTACAACACAGACCCAGCCCTGGCTGTTGCTGGCATTTCGGAAGTGAACCAGCCGAAGGAAGATCTCTTTCTCTGTCTTTCCCGCTTTCGCTGTCACTCTGCCTTTCAAATAAATCTTTTTAAAAATTAGATTTGGGGGCCGGCGCCGTGGCTCAATAGGCTAATCCTCCACCTTGCAGCGCCGGCACACCGGGTTCTAGTCCCGGTCGGGGCGCCGGATTCTGTCCCGGTTGCCCCTCTTCCAGGCCAGCTCTCTGCTATGGCCAGGGAGTGCAGTGGAGGATGGCCCAGGTGCTTGGGCCCTGCACCCCATGGGAGACCAGGAAAAGCACCTGGATCCTGGCTCCTGCCATCGGATCAACGCGGTGCGCCGGCTGCAGCGGCGGCCATTGGAGGGTGAACCAACGGCAAAGGAAGACCTTTCTCTCTCTGTCTCTCTCTCTCACTGTCCACTCTGCCTATCAAAAATAAATTAAAAAAAAAAAATTAAAAATTAGATTTGGGGCCGGCATTGTGGCACAACGGGTTAAAGCCCTGGCCTGGAGCGCCGACATCCACAGCTCTCTGCTATGGGTTGGGATAGCAGAAGAAGATGGCCCAAGTCCTTGGGCCCCTGTACCCACGTGGGAGACCCGGAAGAAGCTCTTGGCTCCTGGCTTCGGATCGGGGCAGCTCCGGCTACTGTGGCCATCTGGGGAGTAAACCAGCAGATGGAAGACCTCTCTCTCTGTCTGCCTCTCCTCTCTGTGTAACTCTTTCAAATAAATCTTTAAAAAAGTTTTTTTTTAATTAGCTTTATATATTTTAAAGGTCTCTTTTACTCATGAAAAAAGCAGATATCAAAACTGGAAATTTGGCCAGCACCATGGCTCACTTGGCTAATCCTCCACCTGTGGCGCTGGCACCCTGGGTTCTAGTCCCAGTTGGGGTGCTGGATTCTGTCCTGGTTGCTCCTCTTTCCGTCCAGCTCTCTGCTGTGGCCCAGGAGTGCAGTGGAGGATGGCCCAAGTGCTTGGGCCCTGCACCCGCATGGGAGACCAAGAAGAAGCGCCTGGCTCCTGGCTCCTGATCGGCTGTCTTCTGCTGCTTTCCCAGGCCACAGCAGAGAGTGGATTGGAAGTGGAGCAGCCGGGTCTCGAACCAGCGCCCATATGGGATGCCGGCGCTTCAGGTCAGGGCATTAACTCGCTGCGCCATAGCTGTCGGCCCTAATAGACTTTCTATTAAAGCGCCGGGATCATCTCATGACAGCTTAGCATGATGGACATCAACAGGGGGCGCTTCCTACAACAATTCCTGAACCACAGTCTAAGACCTCTTGTTGACTTCTCTCCCACTTAGCAAGGACCATAGGTACAAATAACTCTCAAGATTATGGAGAAATCAACTGGTATTTTATATAACAAAAGCCATAACATATCCACATCTAGTATCATACTAAACAGGAAAACTGCAAGATAGTCCTCTGTCGCTCCCCCTCTTCGTGGAGGAACGACACAGGACCCTGCGTTGTTCTTTCGTCTGCTCGGCCCTCCCCGGGTTTGCTGCTGGTTCTTCCCGGGTTGGCTACCGTCCCTTCCACCTCCGTGGAAGGGCGGTTCCCCCTAGCCACTTTCCCCACTTCCGCAGGGGAGCGGCACACCGCCGGCCGGCTCTCTCGGGGGCTGCTCAGGTGTTCCTTCAGATAGATGTTCCCCTTAGATGTTCCTGGTGCATGTTGTCTCTCTCCTCCTTTATAGTCCTCTTCCGCCAATCCCAACTCTGCTACCCACACGCTGAGTACGCTGCTCTCCTCCAATCAGGAGCAAGTCCTACAGTTTATTGGTTGAACTGGAGGCAGCTGTGTAGAAGCTGTTTCTTCCTCTCCCAGCGCCATATTGTGGGAAAGCAGATGCATAGAATAAGTCTTAATTCCAGTAACTTAGTCTAGTCCGAGTTGCTCCCCACAGATCCCCCTTTCTTTTTATTTTTGGCGTTCATACGCGCCTGTCTTCGGTGTCCCGCGGCACACACTCTGCTCTGCTTGCTAGAGTTGCCCACAGGTGCTTACAAGCCTACCAATCAGGCAAACCGAATCCGGGTCCTCTCTTCGCCATGTTGTGAGGAGGTTTCTAGGCACTGATGCGTGCCTGTGTTCGGTGCCCTGCAGCGCATGCTCTGTTCTGCTAGAACTGCTTGCAGGTGCTTACAAGCCCTATCAATCAGGCAAACCGAATCCAAGCCCTCTCATTGCCGTATTGTGGGGAGACTTATTGGTGTTGATTCGTGCCTGTCTTCGGTGACCTGTGGCGCATAAGCTGCTAGCCGCCCGCTGGTGCTCACCACCTCCCTAATCAGGCAGACCGAATCCAAGCTCTCTCATTGCCATGTTGAGGGGAGGCCTTATTTTTCTCTATTTCTCTACCTCCGGGCATTCCTATCTCTCCTATTTTACTTCTATCTGCCAGCATTCCTATTTCTCTCATTTTACTTCTAAACTTCTGTTTCTCTTATCCCTGCGGCTTCCGGGCGCCCGCCCCGAGGCTGCTTCTCGGCACCTCGCCCCGCGGCAGCTTCACGGCTCTGCGTGGCTTCCCGGCGCCCCGCCGGCGCCCGCCCGGCTTTGCGTCGCTTCAGCCCGCACTTCTCTCATCTGCACGGCTTCCCGCCGCCCGCCCTGCGGCGGGCTCCCGGCTCTGCGCGGCTCGGCTTCGCGCGCACACTCCGTGGTCTCCACGCCCTTCACGCCCGCACCACAGCCTTCGCGCCAGCCCCGCGTTCCCTATCTATTCACGCCCCGTGCTCTCTCTGCACGCGGCGGCTTCATCCCCCCTAACATTTTTCTCTACCCGGTATGTTTCCCTAAATTTTCTTCCAACAATATTCCTCCCTCATTTCTCCTGGCCTCTCCCCACAGTCCGTTCAGATCACCAGCCTCTCCCTTCAGCTCCACCCCCACTCCACTCCCCTCCCATGCAGTAGAAAACCAGGGCTTCCATGAAATCACTACTTGCCAAAATTAACCAACATGTCCTGCTGTTTGCATCCCAACAATGATCTCGTACCTAATTACAATGTCATTAAAATAAAATTAGCATGGCTGATGCTTCTGTCTCATGATGCACCTGATGTCATGACAGTTCCAAGATTTCCAAAAAAGGGCAAGAAAATGGGTAATCCTCAAATCCTGCCCAAACTACATCCCTAAGAATTTTCAATTAAACCCTATCCCAGACACCACCCCCTATGACTCCAAAATATATAAAGGACAACCTGGAACCTAGTTGATTACAGCTCCCTCTTGAGTGTGTATTTCACTTTGCCTGCAGGTAAGTCTTCTCTGCTGACCTTTACCTCCATCTGATCCTCAAATTCTTTCCTGCATTAGAGACAAGAACCTGAATCCTACCATGCTACAACAAAAATATCAATGTCACTCAATACGGAACTAGAAAACACAATCTTGTAATCCACATCGAATCACTGAAGATCCCAAACAGCTAAAGCAATCTTGAACAAAATACAAAAGTTGGGGGCAACACATTATCAATGTCAAGATATACTGCAATGCTAAAATAATCAAAACAGCATGCTATCAACATGAAAGTAGACACACACCAACAGAATAGGACACCACAGAAACAACCACACTCATTTATAGCCAACTGATTTTTGACAAAAGAACCAAGAACACAAAATGGAGAAAGGATGATCTTCAATAAACAGTCCTGGGGAAACAGACTATATACATGTGAAGAAGAAAACTAGTCCTCTACCTCTCATCATGCACAAAAAATCAACTCAAAGTAAATTAAAGATCTACATAAAAGACTTAAGCAATCATTAGAAGACAGCACAAGGGAAATGCTTCAGGACACAGGCCTGCATGAAGATTCTTGGGAAATAACGCCAAATTCTCCAGCAATAAAAGCAAAAACTGAAAAGTGAGAACACATCAAACTAAAAGCCTTCTGTGCAATGGAGGAAACAATCAGCAAAGAGAGACTACCAAACTATGCACCTTGACATGGCGTTAATATTCAGAGTATATAAGGAAATTCAATTGGAAAAATCAAGTAATTCAATCTTTTTTTTTAAGATTTATTTATTTACTTGAAAGTCAGAGTTACACAGAGAGAGAAGGAGAGGCAGAGAGAGAGAGAGGGAAGGAAGGAAAGAAGGAAGGAGCGAGAGAGGGAGGGAGGCAGGGAGGTCTTCCATCTGCTGGTTCACTCCCCAATTGGCTGCAACGGCTGGAGCTGTGCCAATCCTAAACCAGGAGCCAGGAGCTTCTTCCAGGTCTCCCACACAGCTGCAGGGGCCCAAGGACTTGGGCCATCTTCTACTGCTTTCCCAGGCCATAGCAGAGAGCTGGATCGGAAGTGGAGCAGCTGGGACTCGAATCGGCGCCCATATGGGATGCTGGCACTGTAGGTGATGGCTTTTACCCACTACACCACAGTGCCAGCCCCATAACTCAATCTTAAAATATGCTAAAGATCTGAATACACGTTTCTCCAAAGACATACAGATGGCCAACAAACAAAAAGATGTTCAACATTTCTCATCATCAGGGAAATGCAAATCAATACCCTATCACCCCAGTTACAGTAACTGTTATCCAAAAGACAAAAAATAAGTCCCATCAAGGATGTAGAGAAAGAAGAACCCCCATATCTTGTTGGTGGAAAGTACAACCATTAAGGAAAACAATATGAAGGATGAAGGCTCATCAAAAAATTAAAAACAGAAATACCATACAATCCATTAAGCCCACAACCAGGTATATACTCACAGGCAATGAAATCAGCATCTCAAGAAAAAAAAAAAAAAACTGTGCTCCCATGTTTATCACATCACAATTCGTAACAGCCAGGATATGGAATCAACCTAAATATCCATCAGTGGATAAAAATAATGTGGTACCTCATTCACTGTAGCAGTGAATGAAGCCACTGTTTGCAAAGCTGCTATTCAATATCAAAGTACCAGTTTAAGTCCAAGGTCCTCTTCTTCCATTCTAGCCTCCTGCTAATGTGCCTGGGAAGGCAGCAGATTATAGCCCAAGTGCTAGGGCCCCTGTTACCCTATGTGGGAGACTCAGATGGAGTTCCTGGCTCTCATTTCAACTTGCCCCAGCCATGGCTTTCACAGTTATTTGGTGGGTATCAACCAGCAGACAGAAGATATCTCTCTCTCTCTCTCTCTCTCTCCCTCCCTCCCTCTCCTAGATGAAAGACAAGTTTCACTCTCTTTTGGTCTGTCTGTATCTGTCTCTCTCCCCTTCCCTTTCTGATGTTCTAACCTTTGAAGTAAATAACAAAAGACAGAAAGACAGAAAGACAGAAAGACAGAAAGACAGAAAGACAGAAAGACGACGACAGACGACGACGACTGAAGAGAAGAAGAAGAAAGAAAGAAAGAAAGAAAAGCAGTGACAGCCAAAGTACTTGCACTCCTACCACCCCATGCAGGACACCTGGATAGAGTCCCTGACTCCTGGCTTCGACCTGGAGTAGGTCACAACCAGCCCTGGTTGTCACAGCCATTTGGGGAGTGACTCAGTGGATGGAAAATGCCTCTTTCCCTCTCTAATAAATCTTTTAAAAAGCACATTAATCTGGTATGTATATATACACGATACTTACTATTCAACCATAAAATTCAGACATAAAAAGGCATGAAATCCTGTCACTTGCAGCAACATGGATGAACCTGAAGAACATTAAGTGAAATAAGGGAGGCACAGAAAAGCAAACATTATATGATTTCACATCTAAGAGGAATCCAAAAATGTTGATCTCACAGAAGTTGAGAGCAGAACAACGGTTACCAGAAACTAAGAAGAAGTGGGTACAGGGAGAGATCAGGCAAGGAATACAACTTTTAATCAGACAGAATACCTACTGGCGTTCTATGGCATACCAAGGTGAATATAATCAACATTTAGTATACATCTCAAAATATTTTAAAAAGAGGATTTTGAAGCATTCACCACTAAGAAATGATTGAAGTTTTAAGGTAATAATTATCCTTAGTTGATTGTTAGCCAATATATACATGAACCATCACACTGTACTTCAAAAATGTTTACAAATAGTATGTATTAATGAAAAAATACAATTGGGGCAGGTGTTGTGGTGCAAGTTAAGCTGGTGCCTGGGATGTCTGCATTCCAAATCAGTGTGCCTGGATTGAGTTCTGCCTCCATTTATGATCTGTGTTTCTGCTAATGAGCCTAGAAGGCAGCAAGTGACAGGTCCAGTGTGTGGGCCCCTGCCACCCATGTGGGAGACCCAGATGGAGTTCCTGGCTCCTGGTTTCAGACTGGACTAGCCCTGGTGTTGCAGCCATTTGGGAAGTGAACCAGAAGATGTAAGAGCTCTCTTTGCCTCTCCCTCTGTAACTCTGCCTTTCAAAAAAATAAAACCTTTCTTAAAAAATTAATTAAAATTTTAAAAGAGGAACATATAAGTAACTGGGAAAAGAAAAGCAGTAATATAATAGTAGTATTAGATTACAACCATATCTTAATACCCTATGTAACCAAGGATCCTTCATAAATATCCACAAGAATGTCCTTGGATCAAGCACTGGCTAAAGCCCAGAAAACAAAGATAACAGAATGCACATGATCAGCAAGAAAAGAGTATTAAAGTTACTACTTATTAAGTAATAGATGTTAAAAATATGATGTATGCTAATATTTGGATTAAACATATGACCCAATATGGCACTATTGGGCTCTTTGCTAACTATATGTGTTCTTATTTAATCCTTACAATAAACTCATGGGGTACACACTAAAATGCATCCCATTTTACAAATGAGGAAACTAAGGCATGTAGGGATGAAACAACAAGTTTAGATGACAGAGCCATTAACCAGCAGCAGTGGGGTAAGTAGCACGATTCTCAGCACAGCCCCTTTTAGATGGCTTCTCTGCGTATCACCTCCAAGATCGATTTCCTGTGAAGCAGGTTGTGTGCTCACAGTCCTGTTTTCCCAGAGGACTCATGCTCAGGACACGCACCGTGCCTTTGAAGTCTCCTGGGGAGCAGGCAGCCTTCTGACTCCTCACCCACTGCTTTTCCTCCTCAGTGTACTTGACCAACATGTGGTTTCAGGAGTAGGTTCACAAAGTCTTCAATACGCCTCTCTTCAAAGGCCAGAACCTGAACTCTCTGCTGGGTCACTAACTTCCTCCTAACATATAAGATGCAGCAGAAGTGATAGGTTGAGAGTCTCAAGGATGGGTCACAAAAAGCACTGCTCCCTTTGAATAAAGCCAGTTGACACACTGTGAGGACACTCAAGAATAGGGAAGAGCAAAGCCTCCTGTCAACAGCTTGGAACAGATGCTCCAGCAAGTCAAAGCTTCACAGGACTGCAACCTGGAGCCAGAACCAATCCACTAACCTGCTTCTGAATTCCTAACTCACAGAAACTACAAAATGAAAAATGTTTATTATATTAAAACACTACCCTGGGACTGGCGCTGTGGCGTGGCGGGTAAAGCCGCCGCCTGCAGTGCCAGCATCCCATATGGGCGCCAGTTCGAGTCTCAGCTGCTCCACTTCTGATCCAGCTCTCTGATATGGCCTGGGAAAGCAGAAGATGGCCCAAGTCCTTGGGCCCCTGCAGCTGTGTGGGAGACCTTAAAGAAGCTCCTGGCTTCAGATTGGCACAGCTCTGGCTGTTGAGTGAATCAGCAGATGGAAGACCTCTACGTGTCTCTCTGCCTCTCTCTGTAACTCTTGCAAATAAATAAAATCAATCTTTAAAAAAAGAAATGGAATACAGCTAGCATGTGGCATGGTGCCTAACATGCAGTAAAGGTTCACAAATGTTCACTGTCACTAACCTTCAATCTGCCCTCCAGTAGCAGCCTCCCAATACGTACAATCATGATTTAAAAATTCTCAATTCTCTGTAAGGAATATTTCCATCACTCCCTTAAGTTTTCCAATAGCCTTTTCTTACTGGTCTTCATTCAGTTCACTGCATACTACGCTTTTCCAGGGAATAAATTACCAGTTCTCTGATCTCCACTTCCTGCCTTTGCCCTCCAAATGTAGCTCAGCCTCAAGGTTATCTCCTGGTCTTCTTCTCATCTTAATTCTTACCCTCGATGATAGCCTTTTTGTGTATGCCTTGCTGACTCCCAAATGCACTACACAGTCTCCAGCTCACTTCTAAGTCAAGATCCCAAATTCCCAGCTCTGCATCTCCATGTGGACATCCCACAAGCAGCTCCCACCTCAACAAAACTAGAAAATGTTGCCTCTCTCGCAACCCCTTACTTTCTTCCCCATGTCCAACCCTGCAGAATTTCTCTTTCTCACTCTCTCGCTTTCAAAATATACATTTATTTATTTATTTGAAAGGCAGAGTCACCGGGAGACATAAGTGGCCACACTGGCCAGGGCTGGGTCAGGCCAAAGCCAGGAGCTTGGAACTCCATCTGACTCCTATGTGGGTGGGCAGGGAAACAAGCACTTGAGCCATCTTCCATTGATTTTCCAGGCACATTAGCAGGGAGCTGAATCAGAAGTGCAGCAGCCAGTATACAAACCTGTGCCCATGTGGGACGCTGGAATTACAGTCAGGAGCTTAACCCACTTTGCCACAATGCCAGCATTCTTGCTTCTCTTCTATGTTCATTGATAGACCACAACAATCTCCAAAGCCACCAAGGATGAGATGTTCAAAGTCATATTATAATTCTCCTCCTTTGCTATTTTTTTTTAATTTTATTTTCATCTACTTAAAAAGAACAAGAGCGAGAATTTTCATCTGCTGGTTCACTTGCAAAATGCCTGAAACAGCCAGGGCTGAGCCAGGCTAAAGCAAGAAGCCTGGAACTCCATCCAGTTCTCCCACGTGGGTAGAAGAAGTCCAAGTCATCTCTGCCTCCTAGGATGCGTTAGCAGGAAGCCGGTTCGGAAGCAGAGCAGCCAAGATTTGAACTGGCACTCTGACATAAGATGCAGGGTCCTGAACTTAACCTGCTAGACCACAACGTCCACCCCCACCCCTCTGCTTTCAACAGGTTCCATGGATGTGTGTCAACAAGACAAAACTGCCTCGAGAAGCTCAATCTAGGATGCTTCTGATCAACTGCCAAGTCCTAACGATTCCACCCATGCAGAGACACATCTCTATCCACTGCTTTCCATGCCTTCCACAAGCACGAGTCCTCTCATACCCAGACCACTACAACAGACCCTAGGATTTCTACCTAAATAGAATCAATCTCTGCTCCACCTCAATCCATCCTTTGCACGGCTGCCACTTACCTATCTCAAGTAGATGACCATGCTGCTCAGCTACTCAAAAATCTGCAATGGTTCCCACTGCTTACTCAGAAAGCCAGAATTCCCTAACATTACAATGACAGTGCTTCCTGATGTTTCCACACAAAGTAACCTGTGCATCCTGCTATACACTCCAAGTGCACACTGACATATTCAAGACATTCCGCTCTCCCAACACTCATGGCTCTGCTTAGCTACTACTATTCCCTCTACAAAAATCCCCTCAGTCATCACAGTTAACTTCCCTTAATTTTACATGGCACAATGCCTATACTTCTCTTTCCATTCCATTCTATTCTAAATCACACATTTCAGTACACTCTAAATCACTTTTTAGTTGATAACCTGTCTTTGTGAATAGGTTATAAATCTCTCATTGTTATTAATTGGCTGGGCAATTCTGACTAAGTTACTGCCTTAGCTGAGGTACAATTTTCTCATCAGTAAGAGGAAAGGGTTAGATTAAGTAATTACTTAGGAACTCCCAGCTCCAAAGTTCCCAAGGATGACTCTTACTCATCTTTGAAAAGGGCAGTATAGCAAAGCTGTATGCTTGGATTCTGTCCCAAGTATACAACATACCAGCTCGCGACAACAGACCTGCTCCTTAACACCTCTGTGTTTCAGTTTCTCATTTGAAAAATTACACTACGGGGAAAGTGTTGTGGCACAGCGGGTAAAGCCACTGTCTGAGATGTCAGCATCCCATATTGGTGCCAGTTTGAGTCCCAGCTGCTCCACTTTCGATCCAGCTCTCTGCTAATGTGCTTGGGAAACCAGCAGAGGATGACCCAAGTGCTTGGGCCCCTTCATCCACATAGGAGACCAGGAAGAAGCTCCTGGTTCCTGGCTTTAATCAACCCAGCTCCGGCCATTGCAGCCATCTGGGGAGTGAATCAACAAATGGAAGGTCTTTCTCTCTCTCCTTCTCCTTCTCCTTCTCTCTTTCTCTCTGTAATTCTGCCTTTCAAATAAACAAAAAAATCTTAAAAAAAAAAAAAAAAAAAGAGAGAGAGAGAGAGAGAGAGAGAGAGAGGGCCAGGGCTGTGGTGC